ATATTCTCCCGACATGGTTCATTTTTCGCTCGCAAAGCCTACGTCGACGGGGCGACGACGATTTTGCCCCGGTTGCTCATTGTATATCGTATTCTCTCTTTTATCTTCCACTCGCCGCGTTTGTCTCGTTTATTTTCTGTTTCTTTTACTAAATCATCGGGGCTGGCCCCGAAGTTATGACGACACAATGCCGACGTTTCTTACAACAACGTGTTGACATATTCACGCATTCCTTCTCGTTCGTTGGTTGCTTGAAGAGTTGATAGTTTCCTCGCCTTCGTTTTTGTCGCTTGTTTCGCTATTTGAATCAGTTAGAGACCTTTAGTCCATTTGCTTTCGATTTTCCATATTCCTTTTGAGCTCCTCACTTCTTTCCGGCTTCGCATTTCTTAGCCTTAGACCTCATAATGAATAAGGTTGATGCACTACTTCGCACTCCGTTTTCGCAGCTGCGGCTGGAACAAAAATTAGAGGTACAACGTCTTGGGCCTTATCAACCAAAAAATTGTTCACTGGAACAATCCCATGACGGAGGAAAGCGTCGGCGTACATTCTGCGCAGAAACTTGTTATAAAAAACACGAATGGTTGCGTTACAGCGAGGACAAAAATGCACTTTTTTGTTTTTATTGCCTACTTTTTGCTACCGCCCGTGACTCACGTTGGTGTAAATTTGGTTTTAGAGATCTTTCCGAGCGTGCCAGGGATCATCAATCTTCTATGGAGCATCTGGACAATGCAGTAAAATACCGAACATTTTACCGACACAAAATACCGAGATCTTTCCGAGCGTGTCAGGGATCATCAATCTTCTATGGAGCATCTAGACAATGCAGTAAAATACCGAACATTCGGAAATGTTAATATTGCAGCACAGTTGGATGAAGGACGCGCGGTTTCTATTCGTCGGCACAACCAAAACGTCGAGAAAAACCGCCATGTTCTCGGTCGATTGATAGATGTTTTGAAGTTCATTGGTTGTCACGAGCTGTCCCTCCGTGGGCACGATGAACGAGCTGGCTCTTCTAATAGAGGGGTATTTTTGGATGTGGTGGAATACACCGCATCCTTAGATACAGTAGCCTATTGAGAGATCATCTTGATGCCGCAACTGTTTCGAAAGGGACATCTAAGGATATCCAAAATGATTTGCTCGACTCAATGTATAAAATTTATTTACAACATTTGGCTCTGGAAATTGAGAATTGCCAGTTCCTTTCGATTCAGTCTGACGAGACAACTGACATCACGTGCGTTTCCCAACTGGCTGTGATTTTTCGGTTTGTGAAAGATGGTAAACCTACCGAGAGATTTCACAGCTTTGTACCAATCGTTGATCGCACGGCTTGCGGGATATCGGCTGTACTGAAAGAAGTGTTACAGCCTTACAACGCGAAGTCAAAATTGATAGCTCAAACTTATGACGGCGCGGCAGTAATGAGTGGGTCGAAACATAGTGTTCAAGTTTATATAAAAGAAGATTTTCCTCATGCGCATTTTTTACATTGTTATGCACACCAATTTAACCTCGTTATTAAAAATATGTGTCTTGATACCCCTCTCGTCCGTATATTTTTTGCAAATGTTTCGGGGTTTTCTTCATTTTTTTCCGTTTCGCCGAAGCGCTCTGACCTCCTTCGCCAGATATGTAGCCGCCGTCTCCCAGCTTGTGCACCAACACGTTGGAACTTCCAATCACGCGTGGTGCAGGGCGTGTCTGAAATTAGGTCTGAGCTCATTGAGTGTTTCAATGGCATGCAGAGCTCTCCGGTTTGGGACGAACGCTCTGTGAGGGAGGCGGCAGGTCTAAAGCGTCTGCTAGAAGATGGTGAGTTTTCATTTTTTCTCCACAATATTCTATCACGTGGATGTAATATACGGCGCATTGCAGTCAAGGCTAATGGATGGAGCGTCTGTGCAGTCGTGTATTTCAGACTTCTGCGATGCTGTATCTCGTATCCGGGAAACAATAAAATACGACGACACATGGAGTGCTTCTTTACGCCGCGGGCAAACAACGCAGCGTTTGATTTTGTCTGCAAAGGAATGCTGTGACATTCTGGTGAATCAAATAGGCGATCGTCTGCGCACTGAACACCTTGCCGCGTTCTCTTTGATGAACCCCAAAAATTTTTCAAAATTTGCACGTCAATTTCCCATCCATTTGTTGGCTACTGTCTCCAAATTTTACCCCATGATAAACGTGGGTAAATTGGAAAATGAATTGCGATGTATATACACCAATCAAACTTTTTTGAACATCACATCAACTTGCGCGCTCTATGGGTTCCTCATAGATAACACTCTAGTAACTATCTTTGCGGCGTCTACAAAATTTCTGGACATCATTTTGACGACGCCTATTTCTTCCGCCGACGCAGAGCGAACATTCAGCACGCTGAAGCGTATTAAAACGTATCTCAGAAACACAATGAAGCAAGATAGATTAAATTTCTTGGCTGTTTTATTCATTCACAGAGACGTTATTTCTGGGATGCATGACTTTAATCAGCGCGTTATTGAGCATTTTGCTTCCAAAAACCCGCGGCGTGTTGCATATATGTTCAAGCAGTAGAAGTCTAGCAGCATATATATCTATGAGTGAGCGACGCATGTCCTTATCTTTGCATTAACTTTCCTTTCTTCATAGTAACGTTTTAAACCTTATTTTAGGTTTTGTCTGCTTTCCCGAAGTTTCTGTTAATATGTCATTGTATTTATCTGGGTAAATATTGCCTTTCCTTTTGAAAGAGGTTTCAAAATAAACTATGTCTATATTTATTAATCCCTTGACTTGGACCGGTTTTAAAGACACTTTCTTATCGTTAAAAATTGTCGCTTTTGCCGATTGGTTGTTACCGATGGAATGGTTTTTATACTCATAAAATATGGGAGAACTTACAGCGCTCATCCTGTCCCCGTAGATGGGGGTGACTTGGTCCCGCAGTAGCTTGCCCCGGTTGTCAAAATGACCACGCGCCGCCACTGTAAATACGTACGTATAATATAAACATATTTAACATAAAAATTTACTGGTATGATATCAAATCTTACTATACTTGAAGCTTTAGTTTCACGTGGCTCCGCCATAAGAAAAGCGTTGATAAGCGCCACAGAATATGATTTTACAGAAGTTGTTGAAAGCATTTAAAGAGAGATTCGCTTACTTCCAAAAATTCGACAGTCTCTTTAAAATGTTTATATGTCCATTTGACATTCGCGTAGAAGAGGCCCCAGAATATATGCAACTTGGATTGATCGATGTCAAGTCAAGTACGGAACTGAAACACTTGTTTCAAAGAGATAGAAAACTTGAATTCTACAGCGAGTATATCGATGAAGATGAGTTTCCCATCCTGAGACAAATGGCAATGCGTATTGCGGCGGCAATAGGAACTACATATTTGTGCGAATCTTTTTTTTTCGAAATTAAAAATTATGAAGTCAAAGTATATGAGTAAGCTGACTAACGACAATTGGACAAGCCAGTTACGTTGTGCGGTATCAAAACTACCCGTTGATATTAAGCAGTTGAGCAATGACATTCAAAAACAAGTTTCGCACTATGTGAAAGGAGAAAATTGCTGACTTTTCTTTCGATTTTTCATGTCAATGTATATAATTGCTTGAAAGTTGTGCATTTTGCATAAAAGTTGAGTTGAATTCATGGTCTTTGTGTTCAGAAATCCGCAAAAAGGTTGTGCAATCCAGGCGTCTGATTGAGCGACGCTCAAATTCTAACGTAAATCGGAACTGGGCGGCCCGCAATGAATTTCCTCATGTGAAAGTGGCCCGCAACACTAAAAGAGTTGGGCATGCCTGAACTAAACGATAATGAAATTTGCATTTGATCTCATAAAAGGCCACTAGCAAAAAAGTTCCTCATGTGAAAGTGGCCCGCAAGCCGCAACACTAAAAGGGTTGGACATGCCTGAACTAGACGATAATCATGCCTTTAAGTTTTCCTAGCCTGGTTCAGAAAGTGCGCAGTCAGACGGGCAATTGGCTATGGCTAATTTATGACGCCGACAGCGACTCATCTCTCCGTGTGATTACCAAATTAAAGCTCCTCAAAAGACAAATGGCCATTTGATTTATACTTATTTGAAACACAACTAAATACTGACGAATTGCTAGCAAAACAGCGAATGCTAACGTTTGCAACCATGCCTAAAACTCTGTATAAGTGAAAATGAATCTGATTGGCTGCTAAAATTTTAATTGTTACGTCACCATTGACAGTTTGCCAATATTACGAAAATCGATGCTCGGGGAAACATTCATTTATTGGTCAGAATTTTTTTGTTGTGACCGCACTCGCCGAAGCATGCCACAAGAATACTAAATTGGCATATATATTTAGCCGTTACCTTTTTCGGCGCTCCGGAAGTATTCGTATCAAGATGACGCATAACCCTAACCCGGTACACATACTTCAGGTTGTGCGCCAGCTTGGTACGAATACTTCGGGAGCACCCCTTCCATTATTAAATCTCCCATATTTTAGTTCATAAATTGTGTTTTATTAATTTATAATAATATTCAACATCTCCATATTATTCCTCATCAATTGCAGAGGAAATAAAGTTTCTTTAATCGATGCATTTATTTCTGCTTAATTGTACGATGTGATGTTTCTCACACGACGATGATAAATATCTGTATCTGAAGAAACCGACAAGCGGTTATGATAACCACTTTGCGGCGCGTACAGAAATCATCTCGTACGTATTAATACCAGTTACAGAGCCGCGATATGGCGTGCAGGGCATCAGCTAGCATGCCCACAAGTTCCGCAATTCTCTTCTAGTTATTACCACCGCTTTCGAACTTTCCATTTCGTGTGAAGTTATCATCAGCGCGGTTTTAACGATGTTACCATGATGGGAAAACATCGCGTCTGTTAAGGTTGAACTAATGAGCCGACGCGATATGCTGGTTTAACACAAGACTATGCCTATTGTAATAGAAGACACTCCATAGTTTCCACAAAAGATCCAATTTACGCTGTTTATTTGACGTATAGTTTATTATTTGTCGATAGAGATAACTGGATCACCGCATGACACTGCATTGTGATGTAAGGAAAAAAGAGATTACATCGATGGTAAAAATGCGGTAATGTATTATAGGTATGTAATGCTTATCACTAATATTTAAAAAAAAAATCAAAACACGATATATAGAAAATGCAAAATAGGAATTTTTCAATAGAAGGCACCAATAGATATACATGAAAAATGATGTAGAATATATAACAAAAAGGCAGATAAATGCATTCATAACACTACACAGAAAAAGTAATCACAATTCTCAATTTGAACCAGATTTCATTAAAAGTTAGGGGATAGATAACCTTCAGGTTAGTTAGCTATATTCTATAGCCCTGCTGAAGGAACTGGGAGACGGCGGTCCAAATCTAGACCTTTCGAGTATTCTTTATTTTGTAGCATTGATCTCATTAAATTTGGATATGATAAGGTTTCCTTCTCATATTTGTACCAAACTAAATACAAAAAGAACTGTGATGCTATTATAAACTCTGATCTTAAAGGATGTGTAATATTTTATGGTTACTCAGTTTAACATCAATTGCTTTTCCGTTAACTTCCTAACCTATTTAGTCTTACTGTGAAACATATTATCTGTACTCCGAAATATTGTAAACGAACTTTTATCAAAAATAGTTTGAGTATCTCTGCTATATGGCACATTAATGATCAAATGCATGTTGGGACGAATATGGACGTCAAATAAATGATTTAGTTAAAAAAAAAATTTCTGGTTTGGCATGAGCTGAAAAAAGTTTACAACAGACTTTTTTAGTAAAATTGAAAAAAAAAAAAAAACTAACGGAATGAGTTGGTCCCACGTAACTTCATACACATAGCAATAGTGAAAAATTCAACGTCCCACTTAGATATATGCATTTATTGATGTTTTCATTGGAAGAGGCAATCATCATGATTTCCATAATGAAATAATTTTTCTGGTGACCAACCAATGAATCAAAAACTAATAGATTTGGTTGGTCCTGTCAAAACTTCATGTAATAAAGATCATTTTGGACTATCAATTACTCAAAATGAGCATGCGCATGCGAAAAAAACAATTGGAGAGAGAGAAAGAACGTTGAAAAAATGTTGCAGTGACGATTCATTACAAAGGTAGAAACTGTTTATGGACCAGAACTGTATTATAGAAGCAGTAATATAAAAGAGAATCGTATGAATGCAACCTGTCATTTAAGCTGGCAGTTTAGAAGCACCATGGTTGAAAGTCTGAATTTTAAAGAATATGTTATAGAGTGATTCGCAAATGCTACCTTTTAGATATTAGGGTAATATATGCCATTAAAATGCTTCATTCCAAAGGGAATTCAGATTCAAGCACCAGATTTGTCAAAACAAAAGCAAGCGTTTTTTATTGTTTTTAAATGTTTATAAACCTATCTTTATGCTATGCAAATATATGATATATCCAGTACCAGGATAAGTATTAAATTAAAACTCAATGAATGAGAATTGCTTCACAATAAAATTATCAAACACATCTAACGTAACTCATAATATAGAATTTACAGTAAATTTTCCCCCATAGATGGGTTATTATAATTTTATAAAACCTATTACAATATTAATTTATATATTATATTATCAGACTCAGAGAAAAAATATTTTTAGACCTTGCACCATAAGGTCATACGTACCTTACAACATGAAACTTATCAATATAGTTGGATTGATATTAAGTATAAAACAAAAAAACCTCCAAAGTGAAGCTCTATAATGAGGGGTATGCGTTTCGATCGAGATGAATCATTCTTTAGTACTGAATCATTTCTATGATACTAGTACAGTTGAATCAATATTTCAGACATTAGTTATGGTATGTTATATCCTCCTCTTGAGTTATCAAAAAAGTAGCTGGATATAGCTCAAGCCTACTACAGTGATAGAGAAAAAAACGTATTAATCCAATTTTGATTTTTTTTTTCAGTTTTCTAACTAGGAAGGTGATTCGAAGCAAGCAAGCTCTAGTTACCTTATTTCAATTAGACCATGTTTAATTATGAAAAATATGATATTTTCGTGTGAAGTAATGATATGTCTATATAATATTTGCCTAGTTCTTATCTACTTAACAAAAAGATTCTGCACATTCAAAAATTATCCAAAATTTCGTAAATGCTTATCATTTAAAATTGAACATACTCCATACCCCTCAAAGAATATTAGAGAGATGTCTTAAGCCGATATCGATTCAATAATTACATGCTTTGAATAATATAATAGAATGATTTTAACTTTAAAAACAAACAACCTCTATTTAAAAAAAACTATTCATGGCCCATATTCAAATATACATGATTCAACATACAATGAGGAAAGGTGATTTCAATTGCATTACATTCATAAAATGCTGATTGATGCATAATTCCCACGATACGAAAATAATAAATTTTGGTTTAGAGAGATAGAAAATGATAAAAAGTGATCAAGGAAACATGTGATCGATCAATACACTATAATATGATTCATAAAAATTTATCATTCAGAAGCTAGTGGAAAAGTAGCTTTCTTTAAATCATTAATATGACAAATTTTGATGCAATAGAAAAAAAATAATTCATATGAAAACTGCAAAGAAATAATAAAAATATATTTTTTTACAGACATTGTTGAAAAAAACATCCTCACTGCAGAGTAAGTTTAGTCCTTAACAGAAATGCTCTAAAATCTGATATTTATGGGACAGTTCGACAATTGGCAGAAAAAACGGCCTGCAGGTTATCATAAATCTTGATGTTATTACTAATGATAATAGATGTGGACAAATTCATGCTATAATTGTCTCTCATAGAGTTCGATCAAAATGAACACTAAATAATATATTTGTGTTTGGTCACTTGTTTGTAACAAACAAAACGTTTAATTGTAGTGGTATAAATGTAAAAAAAGAGGACAATACGAATTGTCAAAGCCCATTGTCAATTATAATGAGTGCCAACACAAAAATCAGGCACAATATTATTGAAAAAGATACATTGTATGCTCTGTTTTTATGATCAGGAAAATTTATAATCACCGGTAAAGAACAATCTATGCCAGTGATTCTCAACCACGGTTGTTAGAACCACATGTGGCTCTCAATTATTCTTTCAACATTTTATTATGATGTCATAGTGTTTTTCAATCACAAGCAGGCTATCCTGACATTGGAAAGAGAAGTACTTTTAAATTGAAATAGATGGTTTTTACCCCGAGTTTGGTTGATGTTGTTATTTTTAAAAAAAGACTTGAGTTTTGCTTTATTGCTATTTCAATTTGCGTTGTTTTTACATGCGGCTCCCTACAACTTTAAGGTTTGAAATTTGGCTCTAAGGTTGTGAACCACTGATCTGTGCTGTATACTTGAATGTGCTTTCTCCTAACTTGATCGTACTGAAACTTCAAACCATTTTCATACTTGGTATACTATTCCTGGGATCCACCAGCTGGTATAATACGATACAAATTTCGTAAGTTTCTAGCTCGAACATGTTCATCTTCAATTTCTTCACAATTTTCAGCAGGAAACCATCCTTGTTCGTTGTCACGGAGACGCTCACCTTCCAGCCAGCCTGTAGAAATGAAATATTTTGAAAACTTTATTAACCAAAGGTGGTATGATTTGCGTAAAATTTAATGGGACTATTGGATGCCTATATTTTGACATGGATAACTGGGCATCGGTTGACAGATTTTAAAATTTAATGGACACATAGAAGCATGAAGAAAAATTTAAAGTTAGGCCAATTTCCAAAACATTTAAAAAAATATACTGTACTGTAATTTTGTCTATTACTATTAGAACAAAACTACTTTGCACCAAATAGGTCGGGGATTAAATGGTATTGTCAAATCACGGCCTGCCTGAATAAAAAGCATTCCCAAAACCAAGACTTACCATCTCCAGTTTTCTTTAATACTCTCATGACATCACCTACATCCAATGATATTTCGTCAGGTTGTTGGGCAGTATAAGGTACAATACAATTATATTGTGGACAATCTGAAAAAAAAAGTACACAAAATTCAGAGAGATATCACATTTCAAATTAAATTTTCAATTCAAATTTTCCAAAAAATTATTGATGTTAACCTGTAAAGATTGGACATTACCCCCAGAATATACCTGAATACACACAATTTAACTAGATATTTGATCACAACTAGAGCAGAGATAGCAATCATGCACTTTTTTCAACAGATCAAAGGTAAACAAAGGCAAAATCAATGAAGTATAAAGAATGTTATACTGTACAGATCAGGATTGGGTAAAAGTCCCTAAACCCTGAGTCAAGTCAAGACACATGTATCAGGATCTCGAGAGTTAATCACAGAGTTAAATCTCACTGGTGGTTGGTTGACTACAAGTTCAAGTCAATTCACTTAGATGACTCAAGTCATTGAGTCTTTGATAAATGGTGACTTGAGTATAACTCAAGTCTAGTCAAGGACTCAAGTCTCCCCAACGTTGGTAAAGAGTAATATGAGTAAGTTTAAAAATTATTTCTATACATAAATGAACATAACCAACCCCATGATTCGTAAATACTGTCTTCTGATTCGTCTATTCTCTGAGGACTGAGAGCATCTGTCCACCTAGACAATTCATTTCTAAAAAAAAAAGGATAATTTGACAACTCAGTAAATGACACATAACCACATAACGATATCCTTTGAGTGACTACTCCAATGAGAAAAAAAGAATTTATAGATGTAGTGATAATTTATAAGAGTGGTATCACAGCACACAAGCAACTCAGTAAAGTGAAGGGCACTCAAACTGAGCTCCCTCAGTCTCCTAGGGGACAACAGAGGTGATTTCTGCAGATCACGCAAAAAGCCATTCACAGTGACTATATTGATTAAAAGTAAATTGAAATTGATATGTTGAATTTTTTACAAGTAGTGCATTCATTCTTTTGCTTTTGTTTGTTGTCAATGAAAACATGCTAAAATGAAATTATTTTTTTTTTAGCGAGAGTCTTTGGAATGGCCCACGGATGATGAAAATTTTAACAACCATTACTTTTAGAAAGTTGAATGCCTGTGGCTGCAAATGAATTCTAGATAATGCTATAGACTTCTATGAAGAAAATCGCCGAACAAATAATATTACACATCTCAAATAATCGCTTTACAATTGAAATAAATTTTAGAACTCGAAAGACAAAGAAATATTAGGAATATATCGATACTTACTGAGATGTAGGAGTGAGAGTAAGCTCCACCCGTTTCCCCACACAATTTTCAAGAAGGACTAAAAATATTTCATTATCCGAAACTGCACGTTCATTCGCATAAAGCATTGCTCGTTTCGCCCAGTCAATGACTTCATATTTAATGTTTGTTCCTGCCTCAAGGAAACTGTAAACAAGCAAATTTATTTAGAGAATGTTTCTTACTCATTTGTAGACACAAAGTGTCTATAAATAGTTTTGCTAAAGTTTTGGTATTGTTATTAAAACATCACTTTTGTCCCAAACCAAAAGATCAATGGATTTCATATTCAAAGTACCTAAAGAAGTTGTTACCTTGATCTTTTTCGATTTTGTAATTTGTTAAGTACTATGGGCCTCGATCTTTCATCTGAAATTTGGCTATTTTGAGGCATATTGAGCCACGGTTTGATGGTGCGCCAGACAAAGCAACCATCTTTTAGACAAATCAGATGCTCGGATAAGGTCTTACCAAATCTGATCTCAATTGCTATGCGGCTATGACTTGATTTATAACTTTGATTTACAGCAGATTTTTGTGTAGGTTGCATAGGCTACTGATGCACTGCAATTAGTCATTTGACCTCAGTCTCTATATATTTGAGCATTGCTCTCTTGTTAATCTCAGTATTGATAAACAAACTTACTTTTTCTTCCTTGCCAGCAATAAAACATCAGAGAATAAAAACAACCATAACTTCATAACTTTAGACTTCTTATTTTCTTGGGCCATTGTTACTGTCATTTCACCTTTCTTTACAACAGACCTACAGAAGAAACAAGTTTATAATAAATTAAGGAAGAGCTATAGCCAAAGTCTATTTTCCCAAAGTCAGAGGCTATAGCCAAAGTCTGTTTTCCCAAACTCAGAGGCTATAGCCAAAGTCTGTTTTCCCAAAGTCAGAGGCTATAGCTAAAGTCTGTTTTCCCAAAGTTAGGAACTATAGCCAAAGTCAGAAGCTTTACCCAAAGTCTGAGTCAAAATGTTTGGTTAACCTGAAGTCAATTTTAAAAGGGCCGAGTTTGAGTCTGAACCGTTTTCCCAGGTTCCACAGCCCTGTTTTGCAATGCCCTAAAACAGTGTCTTCAACCTTTTTAATTGTGATATACCTTTTACATTTTTTCAAGAACTTTGTATACCTAACAAATACCAATGTTTATTTAAGGCTTAAGTAAACATTCAATTTTAAGCACATATTGTACTGCAATATAATCATCCAATCTAATAGGCCAGTGTCCATAAGTTATAAATTTGACTGACGGCCTTAGCGCCAACGGGAATGATGTTCGACGTAAATCAAACGAAGTGCAAGGCAGTCGAAATCACCAACCCTATCTAAAATGTGATGTAACAATGTGCTCACGTCGGTTCTTTGCTTGAATGATATTCTATATTTCATGTGTGCCGCGTTTGTATTGTTGTCTCCGCTTGAATATTTTATAATTTATTATATTACAGTTTAGAATCTCTGACCCTTTGTATACCCTTTATCAATTGTATACCCAACTTATTGTCCGGTATACACTTGGGTATAACGTATACTCGGTTGAAGACCACTGCTCTAAGAAACCCACCCTTTAGCTTGCTTTTAACTTATTTTTAGGAGTGTCGTATGCAGAATAACTAATATGATTATTATTCAACATACCTTGATTGTGACACAAGTGCATATGTCTTCACTTTCGGTGCAAAACAAAGTTCTCGGGCAGTTTCAGCAAGTTGTTCAGTTTGTTGCATCTTTCTTGCACCTTCGTTGCATTTCTTGACAAGCTGTTGGAATATAGTATGGGAATCTTTTATTTATTACCAAAAATGTTGAAAATGAATCAAATTTTTAAATCTGAACGAAATTAAGTATATTTGATATTTCAAATTCTAGATTTCATTCAGAAAATTACCATTTTGAATAGTCTCACAGTATGACCAAAATACTACTATTGAATTTATGAAAATTGTAAAATATAGAGAACCAAGCAAATCAATCTTTATCTTCATTGAGCTGAATATACATAGTCTTATATGTGCTTCATTGAACACGACCCAATTTAGAATGTAATCAATATTTCACATGTGCTTATTTTAGAATGTATTGAGAATAGTAGATTAATCAGTGTTGGCCATCCGCGGTTCAAATTTGAAAAAGATTTACAATTTTGTAGACTTATTTTCATCAGGTCGAATCTATGTTCTGCGGCCCTAATTAGCTTGTATTTACTTCTCGCACTTTCTTTTATCAAATATATCTAGATCCTAACATTATTAGCACTGCCATAAATCACTCTCTTATGTGAAATTGATGTATCATATTGAGATTATGTTGTGTTATAACAGGGGTCACCAAACTACGGCCCGCGGGCCGGATCCGGCCCGCGACGTCATTTTATCCAGTCCGCAATAACACGCAAAAATGGCTAAAATTTTTTCCAAGGAAGATTTTCACGAGCATCGGCGTCCTTGTTTATTTCGTAACATTGGCCAATCGGCAAGATGCAGAAAAGTGACGTAATAATAGGCCTTTCCGCATCCGCTCAGACACTTTTGTCACTCTGACAGATTTTCAGTCGTGGTTGTAAACAAAACTTCGTTTTTGCGACTTTGAATGCTACCAGTACGTAACGTTTTCTGCGATACACTTGTACACTTGTGGCGCTTGCTTTCGACGAAACTGTTTGTTTTTCGTGCTAACTAGCAGTCTAATGATATTTAATTAATATTAATCAATATTTACACAATTCAATAACTTCCACTCAAAGGTGTAGGGTAGTTTTCTATTGATTCCTCATTTGCAATCATTGAATATTGTACTCGCAAATATATTTTTCGTTTTTCAGGACGTCATGATGATCAATTTAAATGCTATCTATGTCAACATGAAAGGTGTATACATCAACAAAACTTGCAGACTGATGAATCATCCGTGATGAATTTGAACTGACCGCAGTGATCAACAACCTCAATTAAAGTTACTTGCCTATAATCCATGACCCTAGAAACTTTACTTGAACCTTAAACACCATATATATTCCCTTAACCAATTTTCCTACCTCTGTATCATACCGCCCTAATTAATTTTAATTATGATTACCGGTACCGTTATTGATTAATAGTATTTAAAATAATTTGGACGTTATTTGGCTTGTTGTGGCTTCTATTTGATGAGTGAAGCAGGTCTAGCCCACCTCTTCATACATCCAACTTGGCAATTCTGATTGGGCAATTTGGCATTAGGTGACTCCAATTATAATCAGTTTGACGATATCTTTTGAGGAATACTTTTCTATCCACAATACATTACTCTTGTTGACTAATTCGGTATCCAATTTGGCAATCCTCATAAAATTATTAATTTGGTGTGGCAAAAGAATTTATTCATTTTTTTTTTTATTTGTTTGTATATTTTCCTTCCTTTTTACTTTTAAGTCTCGCTTTTTTTCGCTTCCGACAGTATCATGTCTGGATGATTGTGTGTGTGTGCCTTAATTAAATTTTTTTCAATTTTTGGTGAGCGAACACGTACTACTTCTTTTATCAATACCTTTCCATCTAAAATCTGTACGTTTCAAACCTTACTCTAGGTTTTGTTCGCTTTCCCGATTCTATAATCAGTTACTTTTACTTTTGTTTTTATCTATTTTTTTATCGTCTATTGCTGATTATGGAGTCGAAATAAACTTATTATTATACTTATTATTATTATTATACTAAAATAAACGTCGAATGTGCATTTTGTGCTAACAGTACTGTAATCCCTTGCGTACTGCTCCAATTTCAAAAGCCACACTAACTTTTGTACTGCTTTAATGCGGATATTCATGTAGGTATGTTACAAAAAATTGAAGTTCATCCGATTTAAATAAAAACTGCTCCAGTGGAAAGATCTGAGTAAAAATAGAAAACAATACCAAGTTTGGAATAAACGGTCAAGAAATAACGGAGATATCGGAATTTTAGTACCGCCCGACAGCCAATTTTTTCCATAATGATCGTATTACTTTTTTGATAAGAACTGAACTAAATATGGAAAAATAACACATATCAATCACTAATCTTTCGATGTGCGTCACATCTATGGTATATTGAGACTATTTCAGGATTTTATTCTGGCAACGGTCATTGACACCGCCGAAAGATCGTCGCAAATAAACGCTGAAGTTGTGCATGATAGTTTGACAGTGGTTCATTGTGGGTAATAATTAACGATGTTCTGATGGTACGAACTTCATAAAAATTGGTAAGTATCAAGTTAGACAAGAAATACACACGTCCATATAAATTTTATTGGTGTCCGTAGACAATATCATTAATTTGCACTACGTATAACTGGAGCGTAATTTTTAAAAGCGTCGAATGTTGGGAAATTTATGCGCTAATGAAAAAATTCAAATACCAGATAATAGTTGTTTATTTTATCTAAATTATGTCAAAATTTCATAGAATTCCAAGCTACAGCAGGCAGTCGTTTTTATGAGCGGTATTTCAACACGGCGTAACGGTAGACGTGATGCGTACATTTTTTGCCGCGGATTTTGTAACATTTCTAATTCATGACAGCAACGTTTTGATAACAGCTAAACTCAGGATAGTTGTCTAGATATAGAAATCTTGTTAATTATTTTTCCTAGGTTGTTCTCGATCTATATTCTGCGATATTCTCAACTTTTGTGAATTTATTGTATTGCATTGACAAAAATATTCATCCGGCCCGTTTCAACACAATTTGAGTCATACCCGGCCCGCGGTCAAAAAAGTTTGGTGACCCCTGTGTTATAACAAGTACTGCTTTCAATGAGAAATTACAAATTTCAAAGTTATATTGAAAACCGGTTTTTGAAGGAAAGAATTGAACTTCACATTGTGAATTAAAAAGGCTGTGTGTTTATATATTCAGGAATTTTCATTCACTGGAAGTATTTTAAAATAGTGAAAAACAGATAAATTAATCAGTGTTAATGTACCTTATTCACAACAGCCAGAGCTTGTTTAGCGGCAGCATATGCTATTTTATCCCCCGCTGAATCTGCCTGGTTGACTATAGCAGATATGAGTAGCGGTAGTCTAGTAACTCTCTGCATTGGCAATAATAGGAACGATAACAGAGGAAGTTTGTTGCAAAATGGAGATGACTCGAGACGAGCAAGTTCCTCAGCAAATTTTTCATTGCTTCTCCTAAAGGAAAATTTGAGTAAATTTAGAGAAAAATAATAAGAATAATTAAGGAAGTTTGAAATTACGGTATGTTCTAAAATTCATTTTTAGTTTGAATATTCCAGATAAATGTATTTTTTTCTGTAAAGTTTGCACAAATCGGATTTAACTACCGAAATAATAATTTTCAAATATGACAGAAAAAAAACTGAGTGCTTGAAAACTTAACTGAAATTTTTTTTTAAAAAGATATAAAAATTATACAGATTCAAATTTTTTCAAACTTCCTAATGTTACTTACTGTAGGTCAGTTAATACTCGATCTTGATAAACTTGATTCTGAACGTATCGAACATAAACTTCAAATTCAGATGTTGCATACTGCGCTGTTAATTTTGCAATATCGGTCAGATATAATTTTGCCCAAAAATGTTGTTCAATATCCTGAAGAAATCTGTAACAAAGAATCAGAAATTGAAACTAAATTAACAGCGATAGAAATTTTTACTTCAGGATGAATATTGGAAATATTCTTAACTAAAATGCATGATTCTATTATTTCAATGAATGCTTTTATATTATTCATAGAAATAGGCAGTCATGTTATTTATATAATACCATATTGATGAATGGAAAAAAAAAGAATTCGTAACATTGGTTAAAATTAGCATGATATGGATAGTGGTGGCATTCAGATGGTTTTGCACATATTCGTGCAAACTCGTTCTCGGAATGTCGTGATAGCCATGACTCTAGACCAGGGGGGGGGGCAAGGTTTTTATACCAACATTTTTGCCCAGCTAGTCTGGCTGAGAATGAGTTTGCGCGAATATGTGCAATACCACCTAAATAACCAATATTTACAGTGTTATGAAGCAAAGGTGGAAAACAATATGCCTCGTGTGAAAACTAAATTTAACCGCAATCTCAACAAATTCCTTGAGCTAATTTTAGCTAAAACATCAAAATTTGGTTTCAGTTTGGTTGTGGCAGCATCAGGCAGGCCAGATTGAATTATTCAACAGACCAGATTTGGCCCGTGGTCTGTATTTCGCCCATTTCTGCTCTGGACGGCCACAGCAAAAGATAACGTGCACCACAGCTGATGAGTGACGAAAGCGCTATATTTCATGCTTCGAGAGTTATGTTTTATATTTATGTAATGAGTGTCCCTCCCGTTGATACAGTTTACGTAATGATATACATACAATGCCTGAACCTGTTGTTAGTTAATTTGATACAAAGGAGAACCCGCTTAGAAAATTTTAAATTCCACTACTGGATACAGATATTCAAAAATGGTGTTTTTGAATCATAAGTGAAAAAATAATGTCAACTAATTTTTCATCTGCCATTTTTGCAGTAGTGAAAGTCAATTTTAGCGTATATAGTTTTATTTCAGTATAAAATAGATCATTTATTTCATTGAAATCAGAATTCTTCAGTAAGCAAAAGTCTAGCATAAGAATTCAATGAAATATTTGGGTACCGCCATATTTCGGGGGTAGTAAAATTATACAATCTTCACTTCAATAAGGAACCTTACACTAAAATATTTTCACAACCTTTAACCGTATAGGGAGAAAATATTTAATTTTCAGTTGAACTATTTATTTCTTATCAAAGACGGCAGTGACAATATATGTATATTTACATATCAAATATTGACTAGTCTGTTCGACTGACAAAATTGATTCGATAAGCTGCATGGTATAACGTATAAGTGATATTTGTAAAAATGACATATCGCCATACCGGTAATCAAATTTTGGCAAATTGGGACTGTTACAACAAAATTTAAGTGAATTTTAGTTATTCTTGTGAAGTATAGTTTAAATTATATAAAGTAAAGTTAATTTCGGAGAAAAAAATTATTTTGATCCATGGAAAATAAAATTATTCAATAATAAAAAATAAAAATACCAAACTATTTGCATATTAACATGCTCTTACAAAAATTGTAAACAACGAGAGTTCGATACAGCCTTCGGAAAGACGTGATCGCCGAGTGGTTGAACTAACTATGTTAGCATTGTAGGCTGAATATATCTCAATATACCTCATACCAACCATCTATTCTAAGGTGTAACAAATGGGACAAGCAATGCTGAACAGGAAAGATTCTGGTCTTTTCAAAGCTAGTAGCTTCTAACATATCATTGGAGCTTATAGAAAGTTTTGTTTGGAGGGAAAGGCATGAAATTAAATGGTATTACAAATGATGAGTACATTCATGAGTACAACTAAGTCAGCAGTAGGGCTGTCCAAAATCGAATAATTTTTTGATTCAAATCGAATCGAATATTTCCGCCGAATCGAACCGAGTAGTCTAATATTATTTCGCATTCCTAAATCTGTCTCCATTATACAATAACTGCCCTTCGAGGTTGTGCTAACGTATGTGCAGTTACATTTGACTTAATGCTGGTATTTTGCACTACAACTACAAATTACAATGTTTTCAGATTTATGAACGGAGATCACACGCTTGTGTGAACTGGTCAAAAAAATTGAAGGACTCCAAAATTTAGGTTTCGAAAATTGTTTAGTGTTAAGAGTAAAAATTGCAATTTCAATTCTCGTGGATTCAGTTTTAATAGGACATGTAAAGCCTGTAGATGCTATTTAAATCCTATTCATTATCCTTATGCTTTTTTGTGTAATTTTCAGCAATATGATAAAAACCATTAATATAGATAAAACTGTCGCTCAAATTCAAAATTGCATTTAACAAATTCGAAGCTAGTTTGATGACAATATTATTTGATGACTATAATATTGTTAGTGTACAACAACCATCAAAATTCAAGAGTGCAATTACTTGTCTTGGTATATAGATGGATAAATACAGTATTGCCATCATAAGAAATTACAAATTCTATTGAAAGAAGGTATTGCCTTCATAAAGATCCCACAATACCTGTTTCAGCTTTGAGTTGCCTGTACCATGTTCCTATGATAACTAACTCAACAGCTTCAAATCGATTCTATTTAGGAACTATCGTTTTCTAAATTGCCTTTTTCTCTTTGTCCTCCCTCCAAAACGTTACCGATTATAACTTTTAAGTTATGATGACCATGCATGAAATGGCTAATCAAGTGCCACCGGGTGAGGATTAGGAATGACATGTTTATCACAAAAAGAAGGCAAGAGAAATATCGGTGGAACCAATTAAGCCGGGAGCGAGAGTGGTCTCGCTTGCCCGGTGAAAAAGTCCTGCAAAGGTGGTTTCCGCTTTATGTACCTAATTATAGCGATTCGAAAATTAGCCGAAAAACGATTCGAATAATTGGCGATTTGATTCGATTTCGGATATTTGGTTCGCTTGGACAGCCCTAGTCAGCAGTAAGCATTAAGCAATACAGTCTGCAAGCCATATATATATTTATAGTGATACCTCGGTAGTCTAACATAATTTATCCAGGATTTGTGTTCGACTACCGATTTGTTCAAGTACTGAAACGATTTTTGCAATAAGAAACAATGTTTTTTTCAAAAACAAATACCGGTAATTAAAAACAATAATTATTTCAATTTGTTCTTAAGCATTCCAAAACATTAACAAATCATGTACCTACCTAAAGAACAATAATTATTAAAATGTGTACATAAAAAGATAAAAATATAAAACATCCATCACGGTATGTTTGAGGCTTTGAGCAAATTTCTGTTGGCTCTATGAGATTCGTTTTTTGAGTGAGATGGTGTCATAAAAACCGCACGGCACCTTGTGTAGGTTTCTGCGTTCGGCGTACTTTACCGTAGTTTACTGTGACAGATTGTATACTCATACTGCTCAGTTTTTATATATTTGAACATCGTTCTCTTGTTGAATGGTCACGAGGCAGCCGAGATGTGCTGTTTGAGAGATGTCATATCACTCGGCGGCACGCGCGGGTGTTTGAGCACCAAATTTTGTTTGAGTACCACATCATTTTTGACTAGAATTTTTGGTCGACTACCAAATTGTTTGAGTATCGAGTCGTTCAAGTTTCCACACTACACCACTTACAATGCTACTTAATAATAATATTATTTACCTTCGTTCCACCTCTTGCACAGCTATGATATTGGAAAAAAGTTCTTTTCTTTGTTTCTTTGGTAAAATATCTGTGTTTTCCATTGAGCTATCTCTACTGAAATGATCGATGAGAATGTTCAAACTTCTCATGTATGAGGCTTGTGATGTTACAACTTCAAATTGTGCCTGCAAAAATTTTAAATAATTTTAAATAAAATTATATTTTGCATACATTTGATAATAAATATAAAATTGCTCGCTTGAGTTAATACTTAATTCAAAGAATTGTTGGTACTATCGTAGTCTGTGTACCAGGTTAGGGTTGGGCCATAATTTCATTCTAATTTTCCTTATTTTAGTTCCTCTACAAGTTCGGAGACTGTCTGTGTTAGCCAAGTGAATATACCGGTACTCCCTGCGGCATGCCAATTATGTTTCAGTCCCATTACACAACTTGATGTAAAACAGGCAAACAAAATTAGTTACCTTCATATTGGTACACACAATTCCGGAGCACCGAATTGTTAATAAAAAAAATAATCATAATATTCTTTGAGCCTATCACAGCCAAACTGATTTTTCTCGAGTCATGGTAAATCAAATATTATAGAATCACAAATTACGCACATGTAGTGATGTCCAATAATAATCCTGGTTAATATTTTAAAAATGTAAATCTATGAGCTCACAATGGTTTGTGTAAATCTTTTTGTAGAACATGGCTCATTTTATAATATATCTGACATTCCCCATTGAAAAAAATGATTTTTCAGAATAGATTAAGAACAGTGAATTATTATATTTTGGCCATCCCACTTTATTCACCCAATGAAACTCAATTTAATTTAAAAACCCTATAGTTCAATTATTCGGCAGAGAAGATGAGGGAACACCTCATATACCATCATCCCTTTTACCTGCTGTAATTTCATCTCATCGTTAGTAAGATTAATCCCGATTCCACTTTCAACAACTTCTTTAACTTCTTTCCATAATGTTGTTGAACCGGCATCATCTGTCATCAGATCACTCTGCCATACATCATCACTCCGTCGTTCTGTATGAGCTGAGGTGAATAAAATATAATTTTTATATCAATTTGTATCTTACTTCTCATGGTATCTAAGTTTTAAAAACAGAAGACCTTGCGATAGCCTAAAAATTAGTGTCGGAGTTGATTATGTTAGTATCATAGGTTGAGATCTTTACCATTTAAGGAGCAGTATAATTAACAGGGTTGGCAAATGTGGAACAGAAAAGAATCCAGCCCTTCAAAAAATAATAGCTTTGGTCACAATGTGAAAACTCCCAATTGCTGAAAATGATAATTTTGACCTCTCTAAATTGTCAATTTTAACCAGCTATGTAAAGGTCTCAAGATAAATTGTGAATTATTTGTGTTGATTGAATATGTATATTGTGATGAAGATAAAACTTACCTGTTGTTGTAGTTTTGAATCTTCTTCTTTGTGCTGTTACATTATGACGATTTCTAACTGATGCATGTGTTAATGTTCGACTACGATAAACCTGAAACAAGTAAATTATATATATTTGTTTGATCATCCTCAAAAAATCCAAAGTTTTTTCTGTTTAATAGCAATAATAAAGAAGGTGTTGGGGTACAATGCTTTATTATGAGAGATTTTCGTGTCATGAGATGCAGCGAATACCCAGATTAAAAGATATTTAGAACTCCCTTTTCCAAATAATAAATAGTTTATGAACTAATAATCTGACAACTTCTAATATCTTGTGGGCGTGATGTGGCTTGATTTAACTAGTGGAATGTTGGCATCGCATGCTATTGATCTTAGGCTCAAATAGGGCTGGGAAGTCAGAGCTATGAATGCTCATTATATCAGGAGCCAAAGATACAATAATAGATGAAGCTATCACAAATTTTAGAGAATCCAGCTCTTGAGTACCTAATTATTTGTTCTTATTTATCATTTTCAAGTACGTTGCAAAATTATTGATCTATCCTTTTCAGATCATAATATTTTTAATATTTAATTTCAAATATTAATTCGATAGTTTCAGGTTGATTTGCATAATCAAAAATATAAAGTTTATTTTTAAATTTGGAACCCCTATATCATGGTTTCGAGTACCATTGCTGTAAAACTGTGCTTGGGCTGATGTTTCATGGTAGTATTCATACCAAAAAACCTCATTGGATATGGAGCCATCCTGATTTTAAACCAGCTTTCCAGTCCAAAATTCAAAAGCAGGTAGAAAATGATGAACTGGGAACGGTCTCGTCCTACAATTGGCTGCTTGATTAGGGTCTCAGAGGCGTAAAAACATTGCATAAAGAATTCTTTTAACAAAAACATTTAATATACCTGATACAAAGGTTCAGATTCCAATAATTTGGATTTGCTTGAAGCAGATAATGGCGTTTTTGAATGTATTCCCAAGTTGTCATCAACTAAAAAAATATAATACAATCTCATGCAATTAGAAAGCAAGGATAGACAAAAAACGCCTCGAAATGCTGTTCAATTCAGTTAACTAAAGGTTGTCGAGTCTGGGATTTACAATCGACTCCCAACTCTTGGTTGAAATAAACTGATTTCGGTTCCCGACTTCATGGTGATGAAAATTTCTGAGAAAAACTCCTGAGAAATCAAATTTTGAAATACCCAGCCTTCTTTAAATAAACTGTTAATAAGAATATTTAAATCAATTTTTTCTGAACTTTTGTAGAAAATTTATGGCTTCATAGTTCATACACCACCATTAAAAATCGAAAATTCTAACTCAGAATTATTGACATTGCCAACTCCGGATCTATAGCCCGTTCATGACTATATGAATAATCCATAAAAATATCTTGCCATAAGAACAATAACTTTTTCAGTTATTTATATATCGTGCAATTTGCATATAGACTCTGGATTGCCCAACTATATCAAATGTAGGCAATTTTGAATATATTCCAATAGATTTGGTCATTTGGGGGCTCAAACCCAGAATGGGAAACTTTAAAACGGCTTCCTTAAGAAAATGAGGAAATCACTGTGCTAACTTTTTATTTAAATACTTTGGTTCCAAGCTATGATCAGCTTAAGAACATCATATCTTTATAATAATTTCAAATTTGTCTTGAGTCCCTTGTATTGCTAGTAAAAGTCATAAAAATTACCAACATTGAACTATATCAAACTACTCACATTCTACATCGTCATAAATAGGATCGTTGCCGTTTCCTGCATCAATGCCAACAGTTGGAATATCTTGAGCAGCTGTATAATCCGTATCAGAAGATGATAAATCCCTGCTAACACGTTGCTGTTTCTTGAATCGATCGGGTTTAAGGTCTCTCATTGGAGCTGGTGGCATGTCCCCTGAAGCATCTGGTACTGGACATGGAGGCAGGCTGTCCAAAGGTGGTGGAGACGGAGGGGAAACCAAAGGAAAATTCGGACTCAATTGTTCCTGATCAGTCGAAGTATTGTCTTTTATGATTGGTAGTGGTAAAATCCTCACCATGTCTGGTCGCGGCGATCGGCGTAATGATTCAGTATCATATGGTGTAGACAAGGGTCTTGATAAATTCGGGTTGGAACCGGAATTTTCTGGCCCGAATGGTGGCTCTGATACAGGACGAGGTGATGTCGGTAATACTTTTGTTCTTGTACCTCGCTGCTGGTGTAAATGACTTTGAACACGGGGTGCTGAAATCTTTGGAGATCCTAGGATAAAAAAAATTTAAAAGATGACTTGGATATGTTGATTCATTTAGAAGTCATATTTATTTCAAATCTCGTTATTATGAACCCAAGCTATTTTAAATTGTGAAAAATCAAAAAATTTGCATCTCCAACAAAAACAACACCATCAAATGAATTCGGTAAAACCGTACATACGGTAAATAGATGATTTTAAAAATATATCAATAATTACTGCAGTCAAAGTACACATCCTCGAAAACAAAACAGAGATGTAGTAACATACTTGTTACTTGCCAATGCTATGTATGGTATGTTTTTATTAACATTAAAATCAGAGCCAAAGTCGTATTTTCAAACTGTCAAGAATCAGGAATCGAAAATTTGAATTTCTCAGAGTTGGAAGTTGAATTTCAGGCTTCATTAGAAAATTTGTTAGTTTTTGTTGTTAGAATTTCACAGTTGGAGTCAAAATTTCCATCAACTTGAAGTCAGTCACACAAATTTTCTGTCCACCAGTAAATCAGTATCGTTTTTTAAGGTTGGAGTTGGATGCCAATTTTTCCAGACTCCATAGCACAGATAATTGTTACCGTACATAAATCTAGAAAAAATATTTCCTCTCCTATGATAAGCTCATTGCCAACTGATATGCCATAAGTGAAAGGCTCAAATTGAGTTGTTTATAAACATATACCTCCATATCCTTGCCCTGATCTTGCGGCTTGATAGTCGTTACTCTGAGTGTTATCTACTGATTTTGAGTAAGCATGAGATTCATTGTTTTGTTGTTTTGAGTTGTTGGTTTTCGGCAAGTTCATTTCAACATTCAATTGCACCTCACTTCGAGATTTTTTATCGAGTTTTGGAGGGAGTGCACGATGGGGTTCGTGACTTTGTCGTCGATCAGCATTAGGGTGAATTGAACCACTCATTCCCTAAAATACGAAAAGTTCCCTTGCTAAATGTTCACAAAAATTGCAATTTCCTGATGCATTAGAAGTAAAATTTGCTTTTATTAAAATTAAATCATGATAAGAAAAAGTTTTATAATATAGGGCAGGGCTACTCAACTGGCGGACCGCGGTCCGAATCCGGACCTTTCGAGTATTTGATTCGGACCGCACATCAATCTATATTTTGGATCATTAGCCTCACTTTTGAAGTTTCCTTTTATAAAAATGACTTCTATAACTTTGAATAAATATGAAAAGAACTATAACACCCTAATAAACAATCTTGATCAGCTAATAATTATTAGCCGGACGAGAAAGTGTGCGTTTAAGAGTTGCAGAAATATAATTTTTGGAAACACCGGACCCAAATAATTTTGAAGTTTTGTATGCGGACTTTCGGTAAAAATAGTTCAGTAGCCCTGATATAGGGTATACAGATTTGACCAATACGATACATGAGCTTGTTTTAATGCAGCTTATCCTAACCTCTTCATTTAGGTTATTAATGATATTTAATCTGTGGATTCATTCTAACTAAATTTCTTTGATGGTCCTGGATAGGATTTCCTATATCTTCGAAAGTTGAGAAGCCAAGCTAAACAAAGCATAAATTTGAGATTTTTCAAAAAGCTCCTTTCCAAGTTCTTTTGTACAGTCAATATTAATATCCAAATGGATGGCTAAAATTAAGAGCTTTAGTGAAAAAAAATGAACCTGAGAATGATGGAATCTTGCTTGTCCGTCACCTGAACTCCCACTATTACTGGATGCAAGATGAGATAAACTCCTGCAAGTAAAAAAATAATTATAAGTGCAACAGCTAACAAGATTACTTATTTAATAGTGCATCATGACAGTAGGAAATTTCGTCTCAGTAAACGTTATCCCGAAATGCGACTACTTGGCCACCCCTGTTTTTGGCAAGGGGATGGATGCATTCAAACAAATTTTGGAATTTTTAATTGAATTTTTTTAATTTGATTCTTTTGGCTTAAGTTATGACAGATTTATGCGGTGAATATAAGGCTGTTTCCGTTCTGGAATGTTTGTGCCAAAACGAACCCCACCACACTATTTGGAAACAAAATTGGCAAGTTTCATGGCTGCAAAGTACCACCCGCATGAATTTGATTGACAAATCAGCTATTAAAGTGTTTACAGACCTGATATAAATAAATCTTCGTTTCAAATGTATTTCAAATGGTTCATTCATATTACAAACAGATGAATTTGACATTTGTGAAATATGTATATGTAATAGTAGTCCGATCTTAAACACCTTGAATAAATAGCCAGTCCTTATGCAGATCGTTTTATCTGACACTTTGTTTGACTTTAATTTATTGAAAACAAAACTTGAGTTATGGCCATGGGGTTGCCGAGTAGGATAGTATTTTGCTATATTGCATACATATCATGCATGCAAAGTTCCCAGAACTCTTTAATCCCCTGTGACGCCTACTGGGAACCATTACCCTATTCTCTGATTGCCTACCTTGTACTTTCTGATGAAGTGGTGGAAAGATTAGTAGCCGATCCATACACAGCTACTGCTACATTTTCTAATTCTTTATTATTGTTGATAGCATGATGCGAAGAATATGATGATTCTTGTTCCACAGATGATTGATGACTCTGGAAAATTGAACAAATTCTTGTGTGAGCAAGAATGTATATTGAAATGTAAAATGAATATTTTTATAAATTTGCTCAAGGCACAGTACAAACTAATAATAAAGTCTCATGCAATAATTATGTCAGCCTATATGAGTGAGAGAGATTGTGCTTAAAACATTGTTAAATAAAGTTTGTTACTTTGAACTAGTTGAACAGTTTCACAAATGTGAAATTTCCAATATAATTGCATAGAAAATTGAGTACATTTTTCATACCTCAAAAATTGTATGGAAAATGTACTGAAGTTTATTGCAATGTATTAACTGTATACATTTAAATGTAATGCAGTGCCTCTACAGTTCAGTTTTGGCCTTAAAAATCACCTCAGCACTAACTCAAAGAGGGATTACCTGTGCCGATTATAGCTTACCAGAACAAATTAGTTATGGGGATTCATAATCCAAGAAGATCATTAGTACACATTCAATGAGAATGGAACAATACTTGGTATTATCTCACTGGGAAATTTAAATCCATAATCCAATTTAGATATATACAGATCATGTTTAATTAAGTGAAAGAAAATAATCAGGATCGTAAAGAAATTTGGATTTTAATTTAATCAAATCCAAGCATAATAAAGTCAGTGATATTTGAGAAACATATTCATAGTTGGAGAAAATATATGTCCATAAAAACTTGTTCATATTTCATAGTTTGCTCAAAGCAAGATCACGCACACTCACTCACAACTAAAAGAAGCTCTGACCTATTTTTCAAAGAGAATATGCTGAAGGGAAGATCACACACACTCACTCAAAACTAAAAAAAGTTCTGACTTATTTTTCAAAGAGAATTTGATTAAAGCTAAGTCAGTAAGTCACACACACTCATTCCCAACTAGAAAGAACTCATATTTGAGTGGGTAAGGTAAGGTGGGGTGACTACTAGGGATGCGACGAATCCAAAAAGGTTCGGCTCGGCCGAATCCCGAGTATTTGTGCTAGACTCGTGTCCGAGTCCCGAGTCCAATACTTTTACATAGCTACGAACAAATACCTAAAGTGATGCTGTTGTTCTCGTATATTGGCCGTAAATTAAACATTCTGTATGAAAAGACTATGTAATTTAAAAACGTTGCACATAAACACTATTGCTTTCGAGACAATCATTCTCTGAGCGACTAGTTTAAATTAGAATAAATAGGTCATATTCCCCGTCGAAGGAATACTTTGTTACGTAACTCTGATCGACCGTCGCGTCGACTGCTGAAGACGCCGCGCTCGTGTCCTGTCACAATAAATACGAGCCATAACCCACACGTTTGGAACAAATTTTTTATGGGAAATTTTTACTCATATGTTATCTTTTTTAGTCGGCGCTGATACAGACGCCCATCTCCGTGATAATTGAGATATTAATAAAGAATTGCCAACTGTGGAAGCATCGAATAAATGTATCTGTTAAATATATCGTAATAAAATAGCTAGATATTCTTCGTTTGAAAACCATCAATAGCTATTGTCGAATCCGCGGAAAATAAGAATGTGTAGTTGTTGATTTTGATTCAATAAGAGAGACGCAAAAGGCGAAATGTGTTATATGCTAAGTTACGGCTGTATGACACAATCATTTTCATTAATACAAATAACGGCGCTTTGAAAAGCAAAATCAAATTTATTAACATTAATTTAGAAGTGAGAGTTACGAGTAAGAATTCACATACGACTCTCGCTAACAGACAGAAACGATAAATGTGAGAATTATTATGGTTTTCTTTCTGCGCCTATTGTTATCTTAACAAATTCCCAATTTTGCATGAAGCGCGCCAACACCTTTCTACATATAGAAACGTCAAACCAGATTAAGCGAGGCAGGTAAATTATGTATTATATGGAAATATTGTTTCGACTAGGTAGAAATGCCATAACTCGAAACAGCACGCAATGGTAAATTTCCGGAGTTTTTATTTATTATCTAATATTAAAAGAACACAGCCACGATAGGTATTGTTCGCTTAAAATAGGGACCGTAATTTACAAACTGTGATATGGAAGATCAAATCCAGAAGATGAGGCCAGAATAAAATTAATATATTTATGAATTCACTAATTAATAGCCGTCTTTAATATCTTCACCGATTTGTACTCACACTTCTGCCTGAAATATAAAAACGAAACTTCGATGTCCGGCGTTGCGTGAGAACTGATAGTGAAAAAGGGTGCTTTAAAAATATAGTTTACCAACCATAATTAGGATGTCGGTCGCCGAAACGATCGCGGTAACAAAAAAACAATTCACGATTGTGATGAAATTACGGATAAGAAGTAAAGACGCCGCGCTGTTATCGAGTCTCCAGTCTTCTAGTAATTTTCTACTATCGGTAAATTAAAAGAAATACGGTAGTCGAATTATTCGATCAGGAAAAATTCGATTTTGCCCGTCACTAATCGCGGTGTATGTAAATAATTATTGAATAAAAATAAAAAGTCGGCCCGATTAACATCCAATTACCACGAGTAATAGTTTTCAAACTTATGCACATTTAATCGATGCGACTTGCGAGATTGTTTTTGTACATATATACGATTGTAACGCCACCGACATCTGCGAGTTGTACTTTTCTCTTAAAAGAACCGTAATTTTCACTATTTTATCGTTTTATTTCTAACATTTGTTTTTCTCCGGAAATAGCTATATCATTTATGGAACGATAAAAGGCGAACAGCGCGACATGGTTACCGCTGATTACGGATTAATCACTGTTAGAGGATTAGCAAGTATATGCTTGAAATAGGACGTGGTAAACATTCACTAAACGACGTCTGGCACTGGAAGGCAAGCTACACGCGCAACACTGGAATGTATTCAGCTGATTTTCGCTGACATTTTTTTGTTCTTACGGCGTCGTGAATTTGTAGTTTTGCCGCCTAGTTTTAATTTCACCGTAGAGAAAATAGACTGGACAGTCTCGTGGCAAAACAGAACGAAAAAGTTGAATTTCTCGTCGAATCCGCCACCAGTCTGCGCTTGACTATCGCGTGTCGTATGATATCCCGGACTCGGGTAAAATCATCAAAGACTCGGGCCGAATCCGAGTATCAAATTACGAGAGATTCGGCCACGAATCCGAGCACGAATCCAAATCTTGTCGCATCCCTAGTGACTACTAAAAACTGAGAGCTATTGCAAATATGGCATTTAGATTTACGGTGGGTCATTACAGGCCACAGTAAGTGCTGCTCGACTCGAGAATTGAAGGAGTACAAGTAAATAGTAAATTCGATGAGAAAGATGAGCTATAAAGTAGTGAATTCCACATAATTGAAATCATTTCAGTGAAGAAACCAATATCAACACCTACATAATCTCTTGATTTATGCTTGCTTTTATTCTTTCTTAATAATCTTCCACTTAGTCTTTTCAATTTATTTCGCTCTTTCGTGAAATCTGTCATTCTTTCATCATCCGTGTTCTGAAACGAGAGAGTTGTATTTTGATCAGATTTATTAATTGTAAATAAAAATAAATAATTACAGTAGGTGGATAATAGGCCTACTCAGTAGGACAGATATTGTGTGAATATGTAATCCACCCACACACAGATATAATTAAAAGATATAATTTACACAGAATTGAAAATTAAACAAATTCAAATAAAAAGTCGTTACGAGATATTCAATTTCCGCTTTCTCATTATAATAATAGAGCATGGCAAGGGTTGTAACCCATAATGGCAAAACTTCAGAAAGCTGTCTTGAGAAAATAACGAAAACTGTTATTTTTCATTCCTATACTCGTTAAACTTTTTTATTGGAATATTTCGGTGAATATTGCTTCAAGTTCAAAATATCATTGGATATCATGTCTTAGAGGCCCCTACTCCATTGAAATATTTTCAAATAAAATTTCAAATTCGCTCTTATGACTCGTTATCTTTAATATTTCCATATCACTGAGGATTAATTAAAATACATTCAATGTCAATATTTCCCAAAGTCACTCAATGGTTAAACTAGACATTGACTAATCGCAATAAACAAAACAACATGGTTTACTCAAAATGAAGATTCAACTCTCCAATGCAAGTATCCAGATGGCTGCATTTTATCAAATTTCAGTCAGATTATACTCTTTTGTAAATCGTTAAGTCACTTTTTTTGCACAGAAGCTACGAAAAAAATTTAAAAAAAAAGATTTTTCAGGAAATTCAGTTTTTGCTCAGATGAAATGAAAACTATAATAAGGCTTATCATATATGCATATTTGAATAATGTAGATGCTATATCATAAATATTAGCATATGATAACACAAAAATGATATAACTAATAAATATATTAAATTTTACCAATAAATCATTGAGAAATAATTTTCATTTCAAAATTTATCCCTACATATATCACGATACAAAATAACAACAATGATATGAGCATGGAAAATCTTTCATGGCAAGTGATTTTCACCAGTTAAGAATATTTCCGGTTTCGTATCTTTTGTTGCATACAAATTGCCACAATATTAACAACATGAACTCCAAATATTCAATACAAATCAAATGCAAGACATATTATCATAAAAGAAGTTTTGAATTCTATAAAAACCTCATTGAATAGGAATGTGTCCAGTCAACATCTGCGAAAATCATGAGGAGTTGAACATGCTACAAAACATGTGAAAGATTGGGAAAATTTTGTATGACTCAAGACTCGTGCATTAGGTGGTAATGCATTTAGATATCAAAACAAACAAAATCTGTTCCCAAGTCTTATATTTGCAAAATACCAGAAATTCACACCCTATTTTAAAATCTGGGGATTTAGCTCTGATGATGCCACTAACATAGCCTACCTATATGCCTTTCGCTCTAAATAAGATTCTGCGTACGAACTACGAAGCCACTGATATGTGAAACGCTACTTTCAAAATGCACTCATATTTTCAATAAAATCATCTTTATATCGAAATAAAAAATCTATAAACACCAAATTATATATTCAAGGAAATACTAATATTTTAGGATAAAAAGTCAAAAAATAAAGATGATTTTGTTGAAAATATCGAAAAAAATCATCTTTATATCGAAATAAAAAATCTATAAACACCAAATTATATATTCAAGGAAATACTAATATTTTAGGATAAAAAGTCGAAAAATTTACAAATATATAGCATTCGGAATTAGCAATCTAACCTGCGGCCGTTGTCCGAGAATAATCCTACGAATAAACATTGAAACTGCTCGTCTCAGCTGCTTCACACACGCACAGCTCATTATTGTGGTTTTTCAAATTATATGTTTGCTTGAGATTGTCAAGGTTTTATGAGTCCAGACAAATTATTCATTCTTACTTTGCTATGAAAAAAAAAGTCAATAGTCCTTTTCTCCTACTGTGATCTATTTCTGCAACCTATAATTATCTGTGAACTATACTCACCATTGATCGAGTGTGAGTTATTGCTGAACCATACTTGTAATGATAGACTATTAAGCAGTAATCATAGGCTTTAATTAAAAGCTCTATTTTGTAAATCTTTGGTTATCTAATAGAGAGGTAACACCATAGATGGACAAAACTGAATAATTGACTATCTCGAATGAATCGTAAAAGCATAATATGAATATTAATAAATACATAATTTATATTCAATTTAGGGTAGTAGCCTACTCCCGTAGTAAGTGTACCTGGTTGGGGTTAGGCCATAATTTTATTTCGATTTTCCTTATTTTAATACTTTTACGAATTCGGGGACTGTGTGTGTTAGCCAATTGAAGCCCAGCCCATAGATTTCAGTCCCTTTAGACAACTTGATGTAAGACTGTGATATTTGTACACATACTTCTGAAGCGCCAAATTTTGTGTCATATGCAACAGACAAAAGCATTACAAATTGATCGAAAAAAGAATTTCGTATTGCAGAATGATTTAGATCAAAATTAATTTCAATAATTTGTTATTTTTCACAGTATCAGAAGTATCTATGTATTTTTGGTAAATATTCCTCTCATAACTATATTTCTGCTACCTGTATGTCAAATATCACCAATCTAGATTACATAATTTGATTCAAGTGACGTTCATTTCAGAAAAATCTCCAGATTGTATAATATTTTTCCAGGCTAGAAAGACTAGCTATCCGCCAAGTAACATAGCATGAAAATTTACTCACGCAGGAGATTTCATAGGCCCTACCTACTACAAAGCATAGATTGTCGTTTGCAAGCTTCCAGACTCCAAAGACCCTTATATTAACTAATTGAGTTTATAATAATGAGCAATTTTATGCAAAACTCTTTACCCCAATCAAAGAAATGTGAAATACCTTTTTGAAGAGCTTTCAAACATGAAATGGAATCGTTGTGTATGCATTAATTAATAAGCTTCATATGCTCAAAATGATAATTCTACAAACAAAACTATCCTATGAATAAAATATTTTAAACATCAATATAATGATTTACATATAGATTCCCACATTGCATTTGTTTCGGATATGTATATAATTTGTATACCTTATTATAACCCATCTCTGCACAATATACAAGATCCCAGCAAAAAATTGGTCTGCATTCTGAGAAAAAGCCTAAATAACCACATCAACTCATCTAACCATATTACTGCATTTATTACGCCTCCGCTATTATAATCTGGCTCAATAAATAAATGTCTGCATCACAATAGCATATTTTTGAATGCAATCTCATTTAAACATGCCCTCAAGCTAGCCACATAAATATATATATCATGTTTAAGTATTATAAAGCATAGACCTTCTATTTTCATGTCAAGATGGGGCGGTAATCTGAAGCGATCATAAACAACTATAACTTCAATTGCTGCAACTTGACACGACTCTGGTGATAAAGTGATAATGACAAAAACATGGCTCATTGGCACTATTTTGTTACCTTTTCCAAGGGAGTCATTAATGAATATATTTTATTATAAGTTCTGCTATGAATATACAACTAGGGATAGAAATACTATTGCAAATACATTCTTGAATAATATTTTCAAAATGAGGCGTATTTATTAAAACAGAAATCTGAAAAATTATTGAACATCCATACAAAAAAAAGTTGGTAACTGCATCTATCAAAGAGTCAAATGAAGTGTATTATTTTATTGTTTGGCCACAAAAGGTAAAATGCACAAAAAGACAAATTTTAAAAGGAATTTTTTTGTTTAATCAAGAATTTATAATATTAAATACAGTAAGTGCATAACACTGATTTAGAATCGGTGGCCAACCACTCATGAGTCAAATACTGAGTGCGGTATAGGAGAGTAAAATGATACTAATGAAGAAATGATTCCCTACAGAGGTGCCTGTGAAACATAAATTGCCAGTACATTGTTGCATACAATAAAGTGTTTTTATAAAAAAATGACCATACTATAAAACTTGGATGATATCAAAAGAATGATATTGTACCACTCATTGATTAGTTGTATATCAAAATATAATGCACCAACTATGGTAATTTCATGGCTGATATATAAGGATACCAGTATAATAGTTTCTCATAACGTGAAGTTGTTATTCATTATGATGAGGAGATCGAAAGCATTAAATATTTAATAAATTCATCAGAAATTCAGTAGGTGTTTTAAAATGTCAATTTCTATACCTTGTATTTTATCAATATTGCATTTTAGACCCAAACAACACTAATTTCACGGTACTCCAGAAGTGTGGGTACCAATATGGAGGTAGCTAATTTTGTTCGCTTACTTTACATCAAGTTGTGTAAAGGGACTGAAGCCTGTGGGTAGGGGATATATTCACTTGACTAACACAGACAGTCCCTGAACTCCAAATAGAACTAAAATGGGGAAAATCGAAATAAAACATACTACAGGAGTACCCATTTCACAGATATCTAATATGCTATAGTCCATTTCATAATTTGCCTATTTTAGTTTGGTAAGAAAACTTCGGACTTTTCTTCAATGCGATCGGACCACTTATATAAAATTAATATGCACTTATTACAGCAATAAAAAATAAGCGAGGTTGAATGAGCTGGAATAATTCGTGTTTATTAATTTTTTTATTCACCATATAGAGTCAAAACACCATCAAAAGTAACACAATTTTAGCTATGGAAATTTTCAATGAGAACTTGACACTGAAATAGTTTTGTTTACTAACCAAGCGAGACATGGTTCCGGATGATAAATTAGGGCTGAAGACCCCATTGCATATGATAAGATGGTGTATACTGGAATTTAAACCTAGTGTTTCCAATACTTTCAAGTAAAAAAGATCAGATGACACTCCAGGTATGAACAACAAAAATAGCAGAATACATAACACATGTGTGCTAATGACAGTATGATGTCCATAAAACTTGGAATCTAGCATATATATATAAGTTTCTCATCCAATCGCATCTTTATTTTAAAACTTAAAATGCAAAATTAGTAGAACTTATAAATATCACACCAAAATGTATTAATCATGTTGCAGCCATGAAAAATAATTGTTGTCTTCTTAGTTTGGACCAATTGCCCAAAATGTACACTTCTTTGAATCCACCTAATTCTAGTATGTAATGGCTCAACACTAAATATATCTTAGGGGGTATCTGTTATCAAAATGACACACTAGCTATAGTTATGAATCATTCCAATACTGTTGTGGTTATTCTGTTAGACAACTTGCCTTGAGTTGTATACATAACATAACTACTGTTATCAAGCGTACATACACCTTACCATCAAACCAATCACAATTGAATTGCTTTCATCTGTAGGTGTTTCATTTCCATATTATAAGCATATATCTACTTTGAATTGCCTAGTGGAAATCTGTGCCAACTGTAATCTTTGGCATATTTGTCATCAGTAGTTTGTGAAGTTTGCTTGGGAATGGTCTTTTTGACATTTGTGTCTCTATTTATATTTTTCACAATTTCTTAAACAAATTTCAATCAGCTGATAACATGTTTGCATCATCTTTATTCGGGCTATAGATGCTCAAATAGTATAAACAAGAAGAGGTCTTAAACATACTCAAGCACCCGAGTGGTGGTACAAATCCAAAAAGATACACCACTACCTAAATGGCAGCTTAATTAATAGTCATATATGGAGAAGACAAACCTAATAGCGATTGAAACAATATATCCAATTCTGCTACTTACAAAATTTGAGCTCAAATTAGAGGCTCTCAGATTGAATTCAGTCTTAGATACAACCTTCTTTAATGAAACCCCTTTAATAAAAATTATTTACTGATCAGCTACGCTAAGTTATATAATTTAGTGTCTTGCTTGACAGTGATTTGAAATATTGAATTTCAGGGTCTAATGTCCAACTGCCACACACAACTTTGCAAGCGAAAGAATAGGCAAGGTGTTGATGACTGTGATTTCTCCTTGTTTACAGGTGGTTTCGATAGCATATATTACATGGACAGAGATATGAAAGTGTCAGTAAACAAGAATAGAAAGCTACACTAATAAAATTATGATATTACAATGAGCTTAACTTTCGGATCAAAAACTTCCCAATCAATCATTAACTCTCATAGGCTAGACATTTTGTTAATATTAGACTAAGCATAATACCTAATTATATTTAATTATACTTCCAGACATTGAAGACTATATTGAACTGCTTCCTTGAATTGAAAGTTGTAAGTAATCAATTATTGAAGTAGCATTCCTTCCCATTTGAAGCTATTTGAAATTTCATTGGCGCAGTCACAATAAATGTTTACATTACATTGTTATCAGCAAAGATGGCCAACATAAAAAATACAATATAAAAAGTCCAAAAATTTTTATATAAGATAATTTCAATCATTTTTTTTCCGACAGATTGAAATAATGAACCAAAATAAAAAATGATCTTATTCCCTATTGTATTAGAAACGTTTTAAATTAGTCTTTTTTGAAAAAACTATTTGTTTTCAATGTCCTTGATAGCAATCATTTGTTTGATTTTTATCATAATTTGAACCGCCATTTTACAAAACTTAATAATAAATTAAAATTTAGTGGGTGATTGAAAAGCATCACTGCATACATGAATACAAATATTTCTGAAACAATTAATCTAAACAGGATTATATGTTATTATTATATATTTTTTTCAGCAGTTCATATATTGAATTCCTCTTGAACATAATATGTCTAGTATTACATTATCGATGCCTAATAAAAATTTGCATCCACCAGCATAAAATGATATAAAATGGATTACACATTGGGAGGGTTCGCTATCTACCACTGAAATAATGATAAGCTACTAAAAAGGTTACATGAAAGTATGAACACCAAAAATAAAATATGAAGTTCATTACCTTGTGTGATATTACATCCCCTTCACTTAGATATCCATCATGGTGTTTAGATGAGAACATGGACATTAACTTTCCTTTGACAGATTTCCCCTTTTTCCCATCACTGCAATTAAAATATATACAGTAATGACAGCACAGAAAAACTACAATACACATTTGCATTCATACTTTTCAACAACCAATTCTCAGAAAGAAATGGTATTCAAGATTCAACAGATCTGTGATATATCCCAATATAGAGCTAAACCAAATACTATAAAAAATAAATAAATCTAGTGATACCAATCAAGGATCAAACCTACTGCAATGTTTCCTACAGATGTTTCGCCAGCGAAAAAAAAAGGTAGCAATTCCATATGTATTTATACAACCAGTATGATGTGCGACGTTCCATATATTTTATACTCAGTTGTGCAATATCAAAATTCAGATACCATTGTTACAAATATGACTTACCCATCATCTTTTCCGCTAACAACTGGCCCTCCTCCAATGATGACTTCGGTATAATTAGTTTTTTGTGATTTCCTTTTGGCCTCAACATCCCTAGTCGACATTGCTGTTCCGATTTCAACTTCAATATAATTCAATTTCTTTTGGGCTCCTGAAAAAGAATGTGTGTAAAAAGAATACTTATATTAAAACAATATTTACATAGAAATTACAATTCACCTATATAAAAAATGCAACTTTCTATATTAATTATATGATACCCTCTTATTCAAAGGGCTGTGAAGTCCAAATTTGGCATTTTTTTATTGATGCTGTGGTCAAAGCCGAGGCGTATTTTCCGTGGTTGAGAGTCTGACTTGAAATTTTGTCGAAATCGAAAGTTTTGTTTTAAATTGCTTGGTGGTTTCCACAACTCAGAAGCCTTGCTTTTAAAGCAAGAAAACTTTAATGCATATTTAACGCATACATGGGTATGTCTGAACAATAAAATTATTCATTATAGCAATTGTTTGCATCAAACCATCATAAATAATGAGAATGATTGAAACCAGGCATGATGTAGTCAAAATCTCAAATACAAATCCTTTGCATATGAATGCTACTGAATTTTACTGATTACTGAATTTTATTTATTTTACAGTGTGAAGAAGGTCAAATCAAAATTCAATAATATGCCTAAGGTCTTATTAATAATTAGAGACTATAATATATCAATTTAAAACCAAAATAATTGTGCATAAATAATTATCATGAATAACATCCAATTATTTACATAATATCTAAACAGTATACTCATAAATTGCAGTCATAAGGCAAAAAAAGTCTCAAATTTCTGATAAAAACAAGCGCAGCGTTTCAAAATAAAAAAAAATCACCCTAGTTGAAAGTTGAAAAAGAATTTAGAAAATACCTGTGTTTGGGTTTAAAGGGGGTAGTGGAGGTGGGGACCCTGGTGGATTAGGATGAGATTTCGACCTTGAGTGTGTTCTCGTAACTCCTTCTGGTAATGTAGGAGGATCACAATCCGGCGGAGGAGGAACTAGACCAGGATCATAAACAACAGTTGTTGTAAGCTGGCCGACAGGAACTAAAAATTACGTAATTATTGAATTAATTATACAAAAAGTACAATATTCCGGAGAGGTTTACATTAAAAATATTATTAAGCATTTGCTCTGTGGGTATTTTCATTTTAAGCGTATATCATATTTTATAAGTGCTCTTGCTCACAGCAAGGTCACATGCACTCACTCAGAAATATAGAAGATTAATTTCTGAGCAAAGTTACGGGGACCACTAAAGTGCCAGAAGCTACTGAGACTGTAAATCATTATAGTGTAGAATTGAGCGTTGGTAAATACAGATTGACTAGACTTAATCAAAAGCAGTTTATATCAATACGATCAATCCAAATGTCATAAGATATCACACTATTGGCATAGAAATTCATAATAGGAATTATTCTATTGAAATATATATTATTTTACGAAAATGGGTAAATGAAGTTAAAAAATAAGATTAACTCCCATATCCCTCGATTTCAGAAAAGTGAATAAAATTAGGTGGGGGATTTTAGAACGTATTCAAAATTCCAGATTCAAAAATATATTTTTAGAATGTATTCAAAATAGTCTAGTATTTAAAATAACTCCTGTTAGTAAGCAGAACTGGGTTGCTAAGATTATGATATTCAGAATACCCAATTCTCTTACTGCGTGACACAAATAAATATAGCCTATCAAAGAAAAACTGCATAACCAATACCCAATATAAAAAGGTCATTGAAAAAGTATTTCCATTATAAAATCATAATTGTTACAGGTGTTGGTTTTTCTTACTAGTGTAGTAGTGTGTTACTCAGTCTTATTCTACATTTTCAGTTTCCATTTTAACCAAATACCAGTAGTAACAATTTAAGGCTGGTATCTAACTAGAAAATAGAGTAAATGTCCAGCATTTCGTGATAACAAACATACCATCAGGATCTGGATCGATTTCATGATATTCTCGGAGAGATAATCTTGGTTTGGCAGGGTCAACAGCAGCTGAGTAACAGAACATTTCATCCTAAAATATGACGATTGATAAGAAAACTGTATGCACAATATTTGTTTTGGGCCATAATGCAAATAAATATAAATTTATATGTGCCCACTCGAAAAATTCTATAGAATCAATTGCAATCAAGTATGATTCAGTGATATATCACAACATTATTGGGTAATCCCAAGTATGATAAACGAATTAAAAATTTGAATAAAATTATAAAATAGGTAAGATGTCAGGTAAACAACATCTGAAGGAAAGGATTTTATGAACTGATATAAAAATATAAAACACCTCATCTTTAGGTTCCATTGGTTCATATGATCCTGAAGCATCCATCGGCTCATATGCTGGGCCTGCTTGGTCTAGGAACGAGTTTAAACTTGATGTACTTGTTCTGGTTCTCAAGCCAGGAAATGGATTATCCGAACCAGATGCTGACATTGGTGTATAATCCTGTGAAATGGCAGGCATTTGTTCACCTCGTGGCATAATTGGGGGCGGAACAGCTGAGTCTGGACTTATACCTCCATAATCAGTTCTCGTTGATGTTGCATAGCGAGAACCACGATTTTTTGGTGGATACATTGAGTATGAAGTTAAACTGCTTTGTCTTCCTCCACTCAGAGATGATACCAATGGTGCCCTTGACCTTGCATGGCGAGATCCTCTCTCTCTTGGCAAAAGAGGAGGTGGAGCTTCATCACTACTTGACTCATGTGATCTTTGATTAGAATGTAAACTTCGATGAGAATTTCTGTCTGACCCATTGCGTTTTCCCGCATTTTCAAGGGTTATTTTTCCTCTATGTGAAATATTTGTTTTACTGCTATCCACAAATGGAGAGTCACTGTATATTGCTTCAGGTATTCGTTCTTTAGTAATATTTTTATCAACATATTCCACTTTCCCAGTGCGTGGATCAACGGAATACATATTGCCATCGTCGTCAAATCGAGTAACACGTGTTCCTAACTTCCTAGCTTGCCTCATTTCTCGTTCGTCACTATCTAGTTCTTCAGCTGTATATAAAACAGATTTCAGTGTGAATATGTAAATAGAATGATATTTTAAACAAGACTGTTTTTCCATAAATAATAGTTAAAATAAATTAGAATCATTGCATGTGGCTATGGGCGTGGCTGGGGAGCCAAAGCCAGTAGCTGTAAAGTTTCTTAGAGCTGGAGCCAGAAAATTTTATTGGTTCCAGCACTCAACCAACTAATTATTTTTTAAAACTTATAAACCAGTAATACTGCATACAATACATAAAACAACTTTTGTGGACTTTTCTCTTCAATATTTAATTTATAATGCAATTAGAAAGTTTATTAAATTTGTAAAATTAAGTTTATAATAGCTTTACAAAATGGTTTTGAATCCCAGAGCAGGAAGACCAGTTCCAAGAAAAAATAAAGCCTTAGTGCGATTTTGATTTCAAACCGGTCCCCATCCCTGGATATTGATATGAATAACAGTTAATCAATATTAAAGGCTCTTAGAGCAAACAATTAACTCCCACATTTTTATTTTGTTCAGTTTCAATTTTCCAAATTAAGGCCACGAATGAATTTTTATTTGATTACTACTGATTCATTTGAGTTTTTAATAAGTTGAGATGCAACTTAATTTAAACTTGTATCTCAATGTTGTTGTCTGAGAACTTCTAAAAGCGAACACTCCACCTCACCTGGACTAGTATTAGAATCATCTGACAAACTTGAACTCGGTCTTCTGACTTCTTTTCTTTCTGTTATGGGACTGATTTGTTTGGAAGGTGTATGATGATTACTTGATTGCGATTTCACGGCACGAACAGAAGCGAAAGTACTTTCTTCATCGATAGCGGATGTGCGAAACGGACGTGGCATTAAAATAGAGTGGTCAAACTTTTTGTTCCTACTGCTTTCTGTTATTGCAGGTTCATTTGGTGGGATTTGAGAAGGAAACCCCTCCGAAACAAACCCACTCCCTGTATTCGTAGGTGAATGTGATATAACGCAATGCCATGAACCGTGTGCCCTGTCTTTGAAACTTGCGGTGCGAACCGATCCATTAGAAGATGAAGATTCAGATCTGCTGAGTGACTGCGGAGAATCAGTTTTATCGGATGCTGTTGATTTATCAACTGAATTATTTTTTGATAATGGACTGTGTGCTCTTTCCTTTGCTTGAGTACGTAATGTAGGAGGTGAAGACAATCCTGGTAACTTATCACCATCTTTCAATTTTTGACTCCACATACGCTTTAATGAACCAAAGCCAGGCTGTTGTTCCTCTTCTAACCTGAATATAAGAATGATGTTTTAAAACAAGTAATGTTATATTTAATGTTTGAAACATGGTTATTATAAAAGTCTGCCAACAAATACACAGAGAATAAAAATTTCTTGAAAAGAAAAATATTATTCAAACACTATAATACATAGATCAGGGTGGTCCAAACCCAGGCCCGCGGGCCACATGTGGCCCGCCGCTTCCTTTTTTGTGGCCCGCGTCGTATTTGCGCAAGGGTAAACAAAAAATTGCATTTGGTGTTGTTTCGTCATAAGAATAACCAGAAAAATTCTATGACATATTGTTACATTACTAATGTCATTGAATTGACTTGTGTTATGGCTAGCTGAGGCAACTAGCGAAATTGAATAAAGTGGTTGGCTAGTCTAAATTGTTAGATGGTTTCTATATTTTCGGTCGGGAATATATGCTAACAAAATCGGCTTTATAGAAAACGAAAAATCTAATGAGGAATCTAATAGCCTAGGTTGACTATGCCTGATAACTAAATATTAATGTAATGGCCAACCAATCTAATTCCTGCCGGGTGTTTTTTTTTTGCAACCAGCCTAAACAGTATTACAAAAAATGCTGCCTGTATGTCAGAAAATATAGTAATTACCCTCCTGTATCTCAAATTTGGTAAAAATCGGTAATCAATCAATCTGCAGTTATTTGTAAGTTATTTTGCAAACATGAGTTTGAAATAAAAGCTGACAATTCAAACAGTTTTTTGACTAGATACGGGAGGAAAAATATCACAATGCTTGCTTAATATGATAACAAAAACGACATTTTCTTCGTATGGCACTTCCTCCGTTGTGAAGATTTTGAAGTCTTACACTGAATGTAGATATAGTAAAACTTTTGCACTTATAAATGAGTTTTTTGGCGTTTTTTGCATGTTTTAGCTTGATAAATCACAAATAATGACAATGTGTTTGGACAATAAAAGTGTTTGTTTTGTATTGCACTGTTTACCTATTCTTAGCATTATTGTGGCCCGTGAACAATACAAAAATTATAGTGTGGCCCGCAAGGCCGACCACTTTGGACCACCCTGACATAGATCATCTATATTTTTATGTTCACACATGGGAAAAGCAAAAATTGTAAGTCAACTCAAATAAAAAGGGGAACTGCCTATATATTCAGTCAATTTTTTAACAGGATATGAGTTTATGATATATATTTGATCTGAAATAACATTTTTTCAAACAAAGTTGATGTTAGAAACTACTTTTGTTGAGATTGCTATCAGTTAACAGTAATGCTAATCATAAAACATATGAACCAAAACAATCAGTGGAAAACAACATTTGCGGCTTGTCTCTTGTAGCTTTATAACAAAGTGTAGTTACCAATTTTATATGGACAACGGCTATTCAACTGTTGTGTGAAGCAACATCCTACATAATGCCTATTTTGGTTGTATGCATGCACCCATGTTCAAATTTCAATACCTTGAATTGACTTCGAATGCAAATGAGAATTAATATACCTACTGGAAATCAAATCATGCAACGAAATAACTTGTATTGACATAAAGTGGTTGGAAAATGTTTTTATATACCTTATATTAAATTGAGGTGGCATTGACTTTAATACATATAAAAAATTTCAATATCATAGAAAACTATAGATATTATAATAACAAAAGTAACTTACAATAGAGATTTAGAATGTGGTCTCGATAAACTTTTGTGTCCAGTGGTTGGTGAACTTAATTCCTGATTTGCATTGTAATCCTTAGTTTTTATATCCTCTCTCTTGTTTTGTTTTTTCGAAACTCTTGGAACCGGCCTCCATTTCGGTGAGAACATTGACTCAGGCTGAGTAATAGATTTATCGGCTGTTTCAACATTTTTTGCATCAAAGGTAAAATTTGTTTGGCGGCTCCATCCTTTCGGAGTAATATTATCCTTTGATAAAGATGCTTTGGTCCCTGGCTGTAAATGATGTGGCTTCGATGGAACGTTGGGTTTCAGTGATTTTTCAATCACATTGTTGTTGACATTACTATTCACACCTGGATTTGAATCTTGTCGACTCATATTTATAGCACAAAGTAGCTCACAAGATCGTATGTCAAATTACATGATATATTTTAAGAACTAGAATTTAGGAAAAAATAATCTCATTTTATCATTCTGGGTGGTAAAATAGGATTTACATATTTATCCCGGGAAAGAGAAAAGTTACCTGAAACGAGGGTGTATGGCACGACGGCAGATCTACAGATCGTGCCAACTGCCAAGCTTATCTCTGTAATAATTTAAGGCAATCGCGACATACGTCGGCCAGCATATGACCACAATTCCGTTTTTTTGCTAAATACTTTTAAATGCTATACTAAAATTTTTTCCTTCAGTTAATTACTTTACATTATTTTTTCCCCGAGACATCCCATTGTGAGGTTTTTAGATCGCGCTTCCTTTTAGTTTATTACACAGTGCCACTTTGAGTCGATACTGCGATATGGAGACAGAGACTGTCTCGTTTCAAACACTGTTACAATTGATGTCTTTTTATGTGTGGGCTGTTCTTGGAATTGGAAAACTGTGCCTTACGGGTACTGGATTACTGGATTAGGTAGCCTAGTCTAGCCAGTTATTTTATTCCAGATGCATGGACTTGTTGGTGGAAGAAGCCCTAGCAGACCAGCGGTGACGTGAACTGCCATAAATCTGTAAATAGAATGGACAATTAGTGTTTCTGAAATATGAAACATTCCTGACTGCTTATCTTCACCCGACAGAACTGCAGAAAGAGAAAATAAATATTTTCAATAAATGTTGTCAACGCTAAGATAAATACCGGTACTGAAATATAAAACAATATTCGAATATTGAAGGATTCTATAAAAACACACCGAAATTGGTCTAACATCTGAACATTGTTTTGTGTAGATCAGTGGTCAATACAATAACAATGAAGTAATCCTGTAGTCACTGAATCATGTCTCCTTACTGCCTTACCTCAGTACCGTACACTGGTACCGTACGGCCTGACGGAGTGACGGTGCTGTAAGGTCTGAAGCTGAAGGTACGGTAACTACCGGTACCGGTAAACGGTATTGTTAAATAAGAAATTAGTGGTACCGGTATACCGGTACGTATACCGCATATAGCTATATTGGAAATCCTAAAATAAAATTATACGGTATCAAAAGCACTGTACCGTATTGAATAGCTTGTAAGTTACCGGTACTGATAAATTACAGGTAAAGTCAGACATTTTCCCAGAAACGGAAGGGTAGTGCAGCCACTTTTGCTAGGGTGAGATTTTTCCGATCAGAAATTGCTTCAATGTCTCCCACTAGTGATTGACTATTTTCATCTTTCACAATCAATGTAAAGCAATATGTTAACAATGACGTAACAATTAAAATTTATGCCGCCGCTCAGACATTTTTTCCGCTCAGACAGATATCCAAGCATGGCTGTAAACATTGCCTCTTTTCGTTAGTTTTGCGTGTTATTCGTTAGTTTTTATTGTGTTTCCAAAATAGCTGTAAATCGAATAACTCAATTGTCACTTTGTCTTCAGAGAACCTTATGTTTAGTTACATTAATAAGTATAAGTTTATTTCGACTCCATAATCAGCATAACAATGAAATGATTGGTGAAAAAAATAAATAAAAACTGATTATGAAATCAGGAGAGCAAACAAAACCTTAGATAAGGTTTAAAACGTACCGAATGTATACAAGATGGAAGGTTTTGCCAAGAAGAAGTGGTACGTGTTCATTCACCTAAAATAATGGAAATATTTCACACACGCTCACACGCACCCACACACACAACCATACAGAAGTTATAAATTACATACGGTAGTTAAAAAAAAAATAATTAAATAAAAATACTTGCCACACCATTTAATAAATTTATAACCTTTGCCACTGCCGAATTGATAGATTTTATAAATGGGAGTGAACAGTAGAGATAAACTTTTATGAAAAATATATTGCCAAGCTGATTATAGTTGGAGTCAATTGCCAAAAATGCCCAACCAGAGTTGCAAGAATTGGGTGCATGAAGAGGTGGGCTAGACCACTTCATTCCCCAAACTAGAGCCTATTATTGCCAAATTATAGTCCAGATTGTAATAAGTATTTAAAGGTACAAGTAACAGTATAATTAATAAGGTAGGACAACGGGGAATAGGAATATGTTGGTTACCAAGGTTATAAGTAAGGTTTTTTCAATCTTAGATATTGACTTCTGCAAGGACAAAGGAATTAGGATTGTTATTTCACAGGATCATTTCTTCATTTACTTAATGTAACGCAATTGTTGTCAATTCAAATTTATCATAGATTATACATCAGACTGCCAAATTTGAGGATGTAGACACCCTTTATATTCAATAAGCTAGCCATTGAATTGGTCATCCCAAGCGACCTGAAAAACATAAAATAAATCTGCGAACCACTACCCTACACTTTTGTTGAGGAGAAATTAGTATTTTGAGTAAATATTGATCATTAGTTATTTATCTTTAAAACGCAAGTTGAAAGACCTGACTTAAATTGTGGTTGGGACACAGGGTAAATAATCTTCGCAAACCATGCAAGAACTCTCAAACCACACTAACCATTTGTATGTTGGCCTTCACGTTAACTTCACAGCAGAACCTTAACCTAGGATAAAATTTTGTATACACACAAGACAAATCATGGAATACCACAGCAAATTAAAATGAAGGGGAGAATCCAACATATCTCGACTGGTAGCCTAATTACAGTAATAGGTACAGGAGTTAAATTATACCTTCTACAACCTTCACAAAGAAACACACCACTCAAATAGAAATAAAAGATCATGCATGTGGAATATTAGAAACCCAACAAAAACATGCACATGCAGATATCAGAATATGAGCAGCCATATGCGGAGGAAACTTATGCTGTGCATGCTATAGGACAAAATAAAGAGCCAACTAGAATGAGAAACAAAACAGATGTGGAGAGCGTAGCTGCTTGTTCAAAAATAATAAGCAATCTCAGAGACAATAATATTATGGCTGTTCAACATTCTCATGAAAATAATAAGTATGTGCAAGTGAGGAGTGTCCCAGCATTCTGTCATGGTCTTTCTTTTGAAGTTCTATCTAAATACATACAAAAACTATATGTCAGTGTGGTTCTGAAATAATAACTTTTAATATTTGGGTATCAAGTGGGACTTGACTTTTTTCTGAAACAATTTTTTGGATTTCAATGTCTTTAAATTTAAGGGGAGGAAATTCCATAGATTGGGCCCAGTATAACACAGGGCATGCTGGCTCACAGATTTACTCATAAAAGGTATGAACAAATCAGAACTACTTCTTCGATTGGAAATAACTTTAGTTAGTATGTCGTCGAAGCAGTTTGGCAAGGAGTTGTTATGAAAATCATAGACTAACAATAATACTTCAAATTTCATTATATCTTCGACTTTGCGTATATTTAGCGTTTTATAGAAATGATTTACACTTTCATGTTTACTTTTCCTGAAGACAATTCTTAAAAAATTATTACAAGTACCTTGCAATTTTGAGACAAGTGTTTTATTACCATGGAGCCAGACTGAGCAACAATATCGGATATGACTGAGTAGTAGTGATTGAAACATTGCTAGTAAAGCTGATTAACGCACTGGGATACTTTGGCAGCAACTGCCAACAGAAGTTTCTTTTTGTTTTACCAATAACATGCGATATTTGTGATTTCCAAAACAGATTTTCATCAAAGATAACTCCTAGAAATTTTCTTTCTTTCACTCTTTCAATTTCATTGCCATTGAGCAGTAGTGGTTTTGTACAACTCACACTTTTATGCTTGCTTGGATGGAATAATACAAATTTAGTTTTTTTAGCATTAAGAGATAATTTATTAACTAACATCCAGCTATGGATGTTGGTTAGTTCTTGGTTTGCAACTGTGAATAGATCTTCAAGGTTTTTCCCATGAAGAATCAAGTCAGTGTCATCAGCAAACATGATTGACTCAGAGGATTTCAGACATCTGGACATGTCATTAATGTAAGCTAGACAAAATAATGGGCCAAGTAAAGATCCTTGAGGAACTCAGTGCTTCATGACACAAATATTTGTAGAGAATGAGTTGTCATATTGCACTATTTGTTTCCTGTCTTGCAGGTAGCTCCTGATCCAATTGAATGATGCCTCTAATTCCATAGTGATAGAGCTTACTTAGAAGGATGGAATAGTCAATGATGTCAAAAGCTTTTGAAATATCAAGGAGTATTCCAATTGCGTGTTTTTTGCCTTCAAACGCATTGGTCAGTTTGTGAATCAAAAATTGGTACCGCAAAAGCTGCGATAGACTAGCTTAAAAGTATCTATTCAGTACCTATAAGAGGCACGTCTTTTGTTGTTTTGAATAAAAATTATAGTTTTAAACATGCGGGCCTGTTTGTAAGCGACAACTCTCCAAAACAATCAAAATCGGCGTTGAAAATTTTGCAATGATGAAGGAAAATCTTTCAGCGGTCAAGGGTCGGGGAAACGTCATTGGATGTTTTTCACCGAACATCAGTTTACTTTTGTAGCACTGACCAATTAGCAATAAGTCAATAATGACGTACCATTTTCATTCTGTGCAGCCGCTCAACTGACTTATACACTTTTTTCACCCGGACAGCTATTTAGACCCGCTCAGACATTTTTTTTTCACTCAAACAGATTTTCAAGCGTGGTCGTAAACATTACCTCGTTTTCGCGTTTTTGAACTATATTCGTTAGTTTTCAGTTGTGTTTCGGAAACTTAAATATAAATTAGATAATGCAATGATCACTCTGTCTTTCTAGGAGTTTTTGGACACGTTAAGTGGACATAACAATCGTTCCAATATTATGTCCTGTTGTTCTTGGACACGTTTTTAAAAAGTCGCTTTTGTCTTCGACTACTGGACCAATTGCTTTGAAATTTTCCGTAGTTAAAGATGGAATTTTTCTCCAGAAGGCTATTATTTTCTACTTATTTTAAAAATTTCTGTGGACTTCAAGAGATTCGTTTTTTATGTGTCAGAATGAAAAATAGCGACACCTTGTGACATGTCCATATATTTGAGCTTAGCTCTTTTGTAATTTAATTGCAGTAATAAAAAGTGTAGAGAATTAATAATAATATTTAGTGTAGAAATACCTGTGATAGACTAGGCTAAAATTATTTACCGGTACTCTTAAAAAACAGATTGTTGTATGCGATGAATCATAATGATGGTTTGAAACACATACCCTATTTTACAGGCGCCAACTCGCAAAAGCACTTTTAAAATAGCCCCGAATATTTTGCAATGGTAAAGTATAGAAAGAATACCCGTGTACAATATTAAAAATGCCAGTGAAAGCTCATAAAAATGATACAGTGGAAAATATCGATGAAGTGCAGACAAAAACAACGTGACAAATTTGCATCACGACTAAATATTCAGTGTTATTGTTCATGCTTCTATTTAATATGTGTTTTTAAAATGCCTTGCCATTTCAGCGATAGTTCGCATTGAGACATTCACATGGTCGGGATGATGAAGTCAACTTCTTCCTTGTCTTTGGTTATTCTGTTCTTATCGTTCGCATGGAGTCGAGAAATATATTCAGGAAATGATATTGATTTAAAACGCGTAAGTGGAAAAAGTATTTGTCGTATGTTTAATGAAAACATTTCTCTGTCTTTGAATTTACTTGAGCTTCCGGTGCAAGTATATCATCGAAAAGTAATTGTATTATTACGCGGGTTTGGAACCTAAGAGGTTCTCCATGACGTTAACACTTTGCGTTTCGGGCGGAACAGAAAACAACTTAATTCAAAACGAACCCGGTTTAAAAAAATATCCGTTTTTAAAAATTTGAGAAAATATACTCTATGCCTCAAGAACTGAATGCCGCATAAATTATTTTACTCACTCATCTTACTCACAGTTGCAAGGAGGAGTCTGGTTTCTCACACTTGCTGTGGACGACTCGTCCTGGACCGTATTATGGAAATGTCATGTTGTTTCATTCTTCAACGTAACAGAGAATACGATGAAGTTCTACACGTACAATATTCCCAAGTGAGTAGTATTTCAACAAAGAAAACAAAGTTGTTAGTTAAGAAGAAAATATAACGGCGTAGGCCTACATGAAATATATTAATTAACTAACTATGTTATTTTTTTCGTAACAGGAATAAATCACAGAATTCTCATTCTGTTATAGAAGATTTATACCGCGACTACCAGGGTCAAATTTGGAATAATCATCAGTTTGGTGAGATCAGTGATTTATCCCACTTTCTAGATTGTTATCGCGTAGGCCTACTGATGAGGAAGTTTGTTTGCTATATTTAGTTTCCAGTGAATCAAAAATCATTTTATGTTAGGTAGTTCTTTGCAATTTTCATTAATGAAAAATTACTGATACAATCAATTATACCAAGAATATATGACTGACATTTAACTTGGTTTCAGCGAAAATCTGGGAGCAGCTGGATACAGAACTATATCAAGAACAACCATCTGTTAGCATGGAAATAAGACCTCCCTCTAAGGGTGAGAATTGTAAATTATGCTACCAAATCACGAATAGAGAGCGATATTGTAGAAATCCACTTTCTATTTACAGACGAGTCATTGTACTACTCTCATCCATATGCCTATTCAACAGACTATTCAACTTTCTTTAGTATATCAGCTCCAATGGAGGATGGTGAGTAATATTCATGAATTTAGACTCTTAATTTTTCAGAATATTATATTGTTGTACTCCTATTGAAATAAATAAAAATGAAACTGCTCCAAATGAAATGCAGTCTGTCTAATTACAGTTTATATTTTAAATTTTTTACCATTGTTGTGGTGCAGGTCGGAAGCTTTTAGAAATTTTCACCAGGACGCCGACAATAAATGATGACAATCTTTCAGAGCTCAAAGCTTTTGCAGTTGAGCAAGGAATCGATCCAAGCACGTTAGTGACATTCGGATGTGGTGACCTGATTCCATCGAATTATCTATTAGCTTAACGCCAACCCGAGCAGTCTTGTTTGTAACAATGTACCGAAAGACTTTCAATTGCAAATGTAAATGTTACTTAAGTGTTTAGTTTGCTCCATGCAAAATTACCCCAATTGAAGAATATGAGCTAAAATCAATTTCGTTTTGAAAGAAAGATCATTTCATAACCTGAAAAGAAATTTTCTAAGTGGCGGCAATATTGTATTTCGAAATATTTTTGGAGAAACTACTAACTATTTCTTATTTGAAAAAAATTTAGCATAACTTTTTTTCGCCATGAACATCTTCATTTGCGACTTTCCCAACCTGAAAAACGTGCAAAATGAACCACTATATTATACGCAGAGCCATGTAAATCTAGTACTTCAGCATGTAATAAAAAACAGTTTAAATGTATGCTATTGTATGTGTTATTTACCTATATATTATATGCTTTGAAAATCAAGGTAGGATACAAACTATGAGTATAATCTCGATCTCGGTCGCAATGTGGTAGTAGTGCAAAGATCCTATTACGATGCTGCAAATAAGTGCAACGCGCTCGAGTTAACAAGAGAGCGATGGTTCAAATTTATGGACACGAACACCAAAGCTTAGTGTTCTACCATACTTTTTACAGTACCGTCAAAAAACATCCGACTTTCGCAAGAGTAGCACGAGAGAGGTCGAAGAACCGCTACAAATACTTTTTTATAAGGTTTGAAAAAATCATCGCACGAAATTTTGAAGTGAAAAACGAATCAAATACAAAGAAATTGGAACAAATAACACTGGCTGATCTTTGTAGTTACTCTAAAATCTTCGGTGTTCTCAGATTAAAAAATCTGTATTTGTATGAAAAAATGAGGAAAATGGCACTGCATTTGCATGCAAATCAACAATATTTTCATTTCCTAATCGCTGATATGAAAATGGAGGATTATTGATTGTATCAAGATATGAAAGTACTTCCAGTCTTTTCTGGATAAATATTGATTCATAACCCCCCAGTAAATACGAAAAATAAACGGGTTCCCTTCCTATTATAATTTTTTTCATATTTGTATCACTGTATATTTTAGATGCATGATTAGCAACAACAAATCAACATGATTTATAATTGGTATAATATACAGTGTAGACTGCCAATCATATCCATGTCAGGAAAGTTGCTTCGATTTAGTGATCATATGCACCACCTAACCTCCTATCAATGGATGTTTTCCCGAGCATCGAATTCCGTAACAATGACCAATCAGCAAAAAGTCAACGATAGCGTAAAAATTGATATTTTTGAAGCCGCTCAGACACTTCGTTCGCTCATACAGATATTCAGGCATAGTTGTAAACATTGCCTCGTGTTTGCAGTTTTGTGTGGTATTTGTCAGTTTTTAGTTGTGTTTCCAAAAATTAGTTGTATATGAAGTATTTGAATTGTTATTGTGACTTCCGATGAGCTTTAGTTTAGTTGCAATATTCAAAAATTAGTCCCGTACAAGCTGCGATAGACTTGGCTAAAATGAGCTATCTGTACGTGTAAGCGGCACGTGGTTCTATATTATATTAAAAATAATGGTTTCGAGAAGGTACATCAGTTTGCAACTCTCCAAAACACTCTCTTAATAAGCATCCAAAATTTTGCAGTAGTAAAGTATAGGGAGAATTTGTCTGGTGTCAAGGGTCGGGAAAACATCCATTCCGTTATTAGTCGGTTGTTCAGATTATGAGAGTTGTTTTTTATGTTTAACTGATGACTAATGACTGAAAGCGTATAAACATTTTCCTCAAATGGGGGATTCCACTAAATCGTAATCATAAGATAAGCAGAAAGCTTTGTTGCTATTATTGCTAAATGTTGACCAATCAAATGTGGAGATTTTGAGGAAGTGATTTTTAGACGTTTTAGGAAAGTTCCTAGTGTTTTTTGCCATTTTCCCACTGTTTTTACGCGTTCTAGCAAGGTTTCTAGTGTTTTTTGACGGTTTTCACTATTTTTGAGCGTTTTAGAAAGATTTCTAGTGTCTTTTGAAGATTTTTCACTGTTTTTAATTTTGATAGTGTTCATAAGAGCGTTTTAAGGAATATAGATCTTTGGATCCATTCTTGATGTGCGCGTTTGAGATCCTGTAATTTTGGAGGCTTGTTTTCAGTTTATCGTTATAACTATGAAACGACAGAAAGTATAAAACTTTGCGTCAGGGACGCGCAAAGTATGTTTGAGTTTTCATTTTTAATAAATCACTTTATTTAATAATGTTGTATTATATTGTATTGATATAAAGACGGGGCACTTTAATCACTACTTCTGACACACCCGGCTACGAAAATGAAAAAGCATGTTCGGAAAATTCGCCGTAGGAAATTTCGCCGCAAGAAATTCCACCGCATCGGGAAAATCGCAAGAGCATTTTGCTGTAAAACAAGTATTTGTGATAAAAACAGTTAGGTTTAGTAACAGTAGAATCTTCGCTCACGTTTTTAGCAGAACAAAGCGCGGGCTATCCGAACCACGAAATCGCATTTTAATAATGTTTGTAGAGGCTAATATACGGGTTATTTGCCAATTTCTCTCGCTTTGTTAATCAAATATCGCTGACAATAAAGTCACGGAATATATGGTCTTCCGCAGGTGGATGATTGAAAGAAACAATACATCTCAGACAGTAGCTAAAACAGGATGCAAAAGTCATGTTATTTGAAATTTTTGACAAGCAGACAATACATCACTTTTACGCAATCGAAAACGCAGTTGTAATAATATTAGCTAAACAGCATATTATAGGCTTACGTCACACAGCTTATAGCTTGGGCCTATAGTCGACAACAGCGAGTAATGATTTAATTAATCAGTTTATTACATATGTGACCATTGTTACCGACAAAAACTACAGGGTTGGTTTGTTTTCCCCCAGTCACTTGTAGATAATGAAATCTTTTTCCTCTTTTTATCGAGACTGCAAAATCCCTTTATATTCAACTGGAGCTAAGACAAAAATTTGAATGAACACTTTGCACAGATTTGAATAAGTAGGTTTTATTGCATTCTCATAAAATATCCGAATCGATTTCTACTTACATTATACCTTACGAAGAAAATGGCTGGAGAATCGGTTATGGTCCATATGTCCTGTTATTATTTCGATTCGATTTTAAAACAGCAGATTGGAAATATGAAACGCCTGAAACTGCGAATGGCGTATTGGGTTAAAAGGCTGTAAATAGGCGATATGATTCACCATCATCGAAAAATGGTCAAATTAGGGCGGGATGTCTTCACTAGGCAAACAGCTACCGAAAGGCAAAAGATTGATCATATTTACCCAAGACACTTGGAATACATTGCGAACTTTTATCTCATTGAATCCGCATTCAGGGTGGATTTATACGGAGTTAGCGCGATAAAACCAGTTCTGTATTATTATTTTATTCATTTGCGATTGTGACAAGATTAAGATGTTTCTCTGTGGAAAATAGGTAACATGCAAAGTTACTAAAGCTTAGATTCTGAAAGGGACATTAATAAACGATTAAATTATAAATCAAAATACCGTCAAGCTAATAACCGAATTGCGTAAGTCATTTTTGGGAGTTTTGAGTTTTTTTTATAAAATAGGTATTTATGTAATGCTGTGCACCTGTCCGTTAACTCAGATTTTATTTTAAGAATTCCGAAACCCATAAAAATGGAGATTTTGTATGACATGCACATTTGTGCAATTGTTTCGTCATAATGAATTATCATAGTTTACGCAAGACTATTGTGACGTCACAAAAGCAAAGTAACCTCGGTGACGTATTTTCAAGTTTCTGCATCTCAGATACTAGCTTAGCGCTCATAAATTTGAATTTTTACAACAGTATAAAAAGGCGTGCACTTGTGATATTCACTATCTGAGTCCAATTCAACTTAGTTGGCTTTTATATAGGGGGACATTGCTGTTTGATTTGTCATATTTAAGTTTAGTCTTATTTCGGTGGGTGTTCAGAGCGTGTTATATTGATGAAATATATATTTATAAACATAAAAAATAATGTAATTGAAACAGATTAGCTATTTGGAGATTACACAACGTAGATACTAAGAATTCCATTCGTTTTTGGATTGTTTTGTTTTTAAGACTGGTGCATATAGTCAAGTTGCAAAATTGGGTATGTCCCCAAGTCATAGACACATTTCTGCCTAAGTCACAGTGCGCCATTATGACGACACATAACTGCCTCATACAATTTAACTTAAATCCGGCTACGATCAAAAAATTGAACCATGGCAAATTATTGAGTTAGGTATACGTACATGTGTATGAAAGGTTGAGTGTAGTGTTCACGCCAATGAAAAGATGAATAGAAAACGAAAAGGAAATATGTTGTTTGTTCGTTATTCAATTAATTGGGTTGTTTTAACGCGTATAATCATTTAGCAAAAACGACATTTTTGGAAATTCCATTATTTTTTGTAATCAATAGCATTACCTATTCGAGTAGCAGGAATCATGCTGACTGGACAGTTTTGTTGCGCGAATTGTAGTAAAAAGAACTTCTCTTCTGAATTATATATTTGTAAGAGATGCCATGAAATACTATGTGCATCATGTCAATTGCATCACGTCGATATCAAAGTCATGGGGAAAAGGTTACATGAAATGATCAACCTGAATGACTTAATAAGTACAACTCTCAACGAAAATTATAGTAAAGGTAGGTAGGTGAAGGTGCATGTTCAAAAAACAAAAAGGGGACAATCTTCTTGAACTTCTGACGTGAATTTTTGATATTTCAAGATAATTCTCAATAAAAGTAATACGTTCCATTGGCCTATTATCAAGGGTATCATTTTTACAAAGACTATAAGTAATATCATATATTCAATTATAATCTGTTTTAATCATCTTAAAACTGCGACTATTTTTTTTTATTCAATACAGTTTAGTTTAACTTCTTACTGAAACCTTGGCACACTACCTTTTTTTTCTTTCCAGTAGCCCGACTGAGGTATATGTAATTTTAACTTCAAATGACAAAAAAGAATTGATGAGATAGCTGGTAATTTAATTATAAATTAGTCGACGTTATTATTATGCAAATTTATATGCTATATTTTAGTTCCAACAAACTCTCGTCTTCAAACAAAAGCGGGGAGTAAATTTAACAGACAATTCGGGATGAAAGCAATCAGAAAACGTTGGTATATCATGCGATATTATACATAACTAATCAGCCATGAAACCGTGATGATAAATTATTATATATATATCGTCTGCATTCAAAGTTCAATTATTATTTTATACAATAATATTATAACAAACTAGTCTCATATACAACCCTGTGGGTTATCATGTTCCAGCGTATTCGTAATAGAGTACTATAGCCAGATCATCACGCTTATACTCTATTCAGTTCTTCTTCCTCACTTGGATTAAATTACAGAACACACGTCAGAACCTATTTTCCCTAATTCTTCGTCACATTTGATACAATTCCGATTAATATAACGTTAGTTATAGGCACCATAATTGTAAGGCGGAGCCACACAGTGTTCTATATGGCAGTCCAATAACCTTTTACGTAACAGGCCAATCAAATGATGATCTTGGCCATATATATATCCATTTCTATTCCAACTATTGGTTTGAATAGAGCGAAGCGATATTGGCTATCTCTGGATAACAATCAATTATATCTGTTAATTTTTAAGCAAATTTCTTATTGATTTCATGCTTGTTTTTCTTATTTCAGATAAACAATTGGCAGCATGCAATGCTGCTATTAAAGAAGCTTTGATTAAAAATAAAAAGAGAAATGAGGCAATAGAAAGAAAAATTAAAACTTCGTTGAAGCAGTTTACCGTAAAAGTAAGTCACTTTATAGGTGCGGTGGCTGGACTTGTTTTAAAGTGAGAAATGGTTAAAGTATCATATTGTGCAATCACACTCGTCCAAAAGGAAATTCATTCATACCCGAGTAAAATATATTACTGTTTTTTATTTCAGTTTTTGCAAATGCTGAGTAGTCACGAAAAACATTTACGCCACCAACTTGATGACATGGCCCACTATCAAACGACACAGTTGACATCCATATTGAAAAACTCAGAAATTTTAATGAAAATATTTGATCAGGCAAATGATTTCAGAACATTCTCGACGGCAGAAGACTCCGGATATATTTCAGAATTGGAAGAAAACTTTAGCCTTTTTGACAGGCACGTTGTGTACTACTTGTAAAATTATATACATTCCACTATCTAGCATATTTCTTTAGGCATGTTGAGGCGAGGGTATGGTGTTTATTTACCATTGTTAATTAAATTTTATGCACCTGTTATTAGTAATCACATTTCTGCACAAAATATAGTTAATTTCTCGTTGAATGGATAGTGTGCTATTAACATCCGTCTAAAAAATTATATATATGAATATGTTCCGGGCCATAAGGATGCGACACTAATCGATTTTTCATTATTTTAGGCTGAACGTAATGCAACTAATGACAAGTTTTGCAAATGCTATGGATGGAAGAATAAAATTTACATCCCTTAGCGAACAAGATATGAAATCAGCTCTAAAAACTTTACCGGATTTAGGAACAGTATTATTACATAAATCCAACGAAGGTCCATTTGCAAACGAAATGTGGGGTAAGTGTTACATTAGGCGATTCACTGTTAGACTCGAAGAAAACTGAATTTAGTAAACGTAATAAATATTTCAAGACTGGAATAATACGTATTTTATAGGCCCTCAGAAAAGTGTCGCGGAAACTTGGGGTCAAGTTTGTTAAGAGTAATTTGTACGACTAAAAGAGGTAAAAATCTGAAAAAATATCGAATTTATTTTGCCAATTTTAACTTAAAATTATAATAAAAAATCACAGCTACTAGAAAATCGGAACGTCGTTTTGCTGCCGACTACCCAGCTTCATCAGACGACAGCGTTGGTGAAACTGATCCTGATTTCGGGGTATTTCACATGGGAAAAAGTTTAGTGAAAATTCCTGCAGATCGACATAAAAATCCTACATATGTTCCAAAATATCAAATTGTTAATCAAGACGTAACCGTCCAGGATGAGGTGAATATTTATATATATTTGTTCAACACAGTTTTAAATTAAATATTGATGATAGATAATTAAAAATAGAAGAAGATAATTTTAATGCCTTCAAAGTGTAACTGTTATTTATCTGCTAAATGGTATCACTGCCTATTTGTAATTAGCAAGACTCGAACCTCATATCTTAAAAACTTCTTTCAACCATAGGTTTAACCGATGTATAAAACTCAATGCGAAATATGTCACAAAAAAAAGTTGTTTTCAAATCATTTGAAAAATAGAAATACAAAATGTAATTTGTGAGGATTTGGAGGAACGTTTATCCAACTCATACTATCGCGTAGCCTATAACATACACTTAAGAGCCAATAACTCGGTATGTGATTATATTACTGTTTTAAAAGTTTTTCACATCGTTTTCCGTTGTCCACTGGAACTGGGTAAATATTAACCAATATACTCCACAAAATTTGGTCCTCTCCGTTGATTTCGGATGTAGCACAAGATAAATAAACGTAACAAAGAGCAAAAAAGAGCATTGTTTTCTCATTCAACCGGCTCAAATAAAAATACTCGTGCACGCCGCACACTTAGATCGGGTTGGCTGCTTGTCTATCACATATCATATGATTTGCAGATGGTTCTGCCAGCTATAAAGAAAAGGAACAAAGGCCACAATCTGCAGAAACATCCAACATGTTCCGGCGCCTGCAAAATCCATTTCGCAAGCACAAAAAATCAGAATTACCCGAACAAGGTCGTGATAGAGAAGCCCAAAATTTTACAAAAGCCAAAGAGATAAATGCCACGAGAAGTTACTCTTCAATAAAGACGCCAACTGTTCCCCAGAAACACAAAGTAAGACGTTCATTCTCGGTACCCTGATTGTGTTATGTTTAGGCTAACTAAAAGAAAAAACAATCGCATGAATTCGGTTCCATGTAACCTTTTTGTTGCTATATTTGAAAAAAAAGAACTTTTCGCTTTTTGTACGTGCAAGCACCGCTTGTTGATGAGTAACAGTTGTTCTCTATTTTGCTCATATTATCGATAGGGTCATCTATTCTTAAAAATCATATTCTGAACTTTGGTTTTTCGACTCCAGAGTTTGAGAGTCACCGGTCGCTCTTACTGGCAATGCATAGCCTTTTATAATATCTCCATACTCATGTTCACACACGATTAAGCCAAAATAATTTAAAATACATTTTCTTATTGTAGAATCACACTAAATTGCAAAGATTTCGACATGTGAGATTTGGCGATTTGGAGGAGAAACGATATCCACAACATTCGGAGATGGACAATCCGGGGATCCTTTCCATACGTTGCCAAAGCGCTCCAGATATTTCGATTGTGAGAAAATGGAACACGGAAAGATCAGAAGGCCAAAAATTAAATACAAACTGGCAAAGGGATGCGGTAGGACGTCGACTACACGGGACAATAAAATCTGTCGTTATTTGACGGTTAAAATTGATCCGGTATCTCTGATTATTTTTCGACAAACATCTATTGATGACATAGATCCTGAAAATGCCAATTCGTATAATTATCTTGGTTTATATATAGATATATACTGTAACAGAATGAAGTGGGATTTACAATCTTGTCGATATATATCGCTAACAGCAATACGCATGGTCTACTACTCCTATTTCAGTTCCATATTTATTACTGTATAGTTGTGCAGGTACCTTGTCGGCCACCCTCTATTGTCGTTGTAGTTTAACTTCACTTAATCGTGCAAATACCGCGACAGCGGAGCCCGTAATGTCAACCTTGATTAGATCGACTAAACAGTTGGGGCGACAACTAATGCTGAAAGCACTCGGAGCCTAACAAAACCTAAGAGAAACTGAACTTTCGAAAGGACATCAATAAGAAGCAGTGATTTTAATGCAGAGACCTTACCGACGGCTATCGCTCTTTCTTCCCTTTTGTTGACGTCTTAGTACGGTGTGCTATACTTTCCTCAGCTCTTCAAATACAGTGTCACACTATTAAGTTATGAGATCTTTATTGACAACAGTATAATATTAACGTTAATACTCATTTTGTTTTCGCCCCATCTGTTTAGTCGATCTGAATATGCAATAAACATGCGCTACGATCTACCCTATATTCTCTACTTTTCCGGCAACATTGGCCAATGAACGCAGACTTCTGTATGACGTAACAATTAATTTAAGCAGCTGTTCGCGGGCGGATGAATCTCAGATTGTAGCCTTTCCATCATCTTTTTTAGTTTTATCAGTTAAGTTATGCTAAGACATTGTTAAAAAGTATAAGCAACTCATTAAACATTTGTAGATTCTTATTCCTTATATAGGTCGAGAGACGAGGCCTTGAAAACGCCCAGAAAATGAGATCAGCGAACCGGTTAGCAATTCTAGAAAAAAACATGTAACAGAATCGGCCAAAAAATATGACTTTTGTGATGAAACCGGCTGACAAAAAATTTGAATCCCACCACTGCTGGTAACTAAATATTTTTTTTAGTTTTGTATGAAAATGAGCATACCAACATACCAAACGCATTACAGCTTGTTCCACAATCCCGATGCGGAATTAAATAAAAGGGGGTTCCCTGAAAATCAATGAACATAGGTTTACAATAACACAGCGTAAGAACTATACAATTTGAGAGCCCTGCTGCACACTACCACAAATGTATTTCGGTAACGTTTTGTCTGATCAAAATCAGACTTTCTCAGACAAGCCGGTTACAAAAGAAAAAACGGCATAAGAAGTTGCATTTATTTTATAGAAACTAAGAACTTGCCAACAAGCCCAACATACACAACTGGATGTTGATAAATAAATTATCTCTCAATGCTAAGAAGACTAAATAGCAAGCACGAAAGTGATAGTTATACATAACCATTGCTCAATGGCAATAAAATTGAAAAAGTGAGAGAAATAAAATTCCTAGAAGTTATCTTTGATGAATCTGTCTTGAAAATCACAAATATTGCAGGTTATTAGTAAAACAAAAATAAACTTGGCAGTTGCTGCGGCAACAACACGGCAATGATAATACGGCCCTCCCTGATTCAGGCCAAAAATTTGGGTCTAGAAAAGCGACTTATTCGCCGGGAAATACGGTACTTATTTTTATGAAAATATTAAACAGCTACAATATTGCTATTGTCTCGGCAGCTGCTGATTGTTTTTGAGCGGGCAGTTAATCTCTCTCCACCTGTTCTACATCTAATGTTGGTGTGTCAGGTTCTGTAGCATGCGTATAGCATAATATTTTCTTCGAACGGCTGATCACATTCTGACATCTGCATGCGCGGGTTCTCTTTTTGTTTAATGTTGGATTTTTGACATTACACATGCATGGTGTTTGTCCCTATTTGGGTGGTGTAATACCTTATGAGCTCCTGTATACCTATTATTGTAATTGGGCGACCAGACGAGATATATTGGATTCTCCCCTTCGTTTTAATTTGCTGTGGTATTCTATGATTTGTCTTGTGTGTATACAAAATTTTATCCTAGGTTAAGGTTCTGCTGTGAAGTTAACGTGGAGGCCAACATACGAATGGTTAGTGTGGTTTGAGAGTTCTTGCATGGTTTGCGAATAATTTACCCCGTGTCCCAGCCAGAATTCAACTCTTTCTACTAGCGTTTTAAAGATAAATAACTAATGATCAATATTTACTCAAAATTAACAATTTATTCCCAACAAAAATGTAGGGTAGTGTTGTTTCCTTATATGTAGCCCTTGGCTAGCTTATTGAATATAATTGGTGTACATCTATAGTGATTGGTTATCACTACACATAGATTGTTTGTAGATTGGTCTGGTTTGTATATTATAACCCCCGCATTGATTGACAATAATTTTGTTTTGCGTTTGCTAACTCGAACTGTCTATCTGTCGATAGCCTTCGGCTGTAGTAAAGAGACGTTTGAAAACACCTTATGAGTTTATTGCAATTCCGACAATATATACAGTGATACAATGCACACACAATTAGATCAAATCTAGTCTGATTAACACAAAACACATTGCTGAATATATAGCTTCCAACCAAGCAATTAAAATATAATAAAGAAACAGATTTTTACATTAACAATTAAAGAATCACGCGTCATTCCGGTTTCTGGTTAGCTTAACAATTAATTTAAGCAGCTGTTCGCGGGCGGATGAATCTCAGATTGTAGCCTTTTCATCATCTTTTTTAGTTTTATCAGTTAAGTTATGCTAAGACATTGTTAAAAAGTATAAGCAACTCATTAAACATTTGTAGATCCTTATTCCTTATATAGGTCGAGAGACGAGGCCTTGAAAACGCCCAGAAAATGAGATCAGCGAACCGGTTAGCAATTCTAGAAAAAAACATGTAACAGAACCGGCCAAAAAATATGACTTTTGTGATGGAACCGGCTGACAAAAAATTTGAATCCCACCACTGCTGGTAACTAAATATTTTTTTTAGTTTTGTATGAAAATGAACATACCAACATACCAAACGCATTACAGCTTGTTCCACAATCCCGATGCGGAATTAAATACAAGGGGGTTCCCTGAAAATCAATGAACATAGGTTTACAATAACACAGCGTAAGAACTATACAATTTGAGAGCCCTGCTGCACACTACCACAAATGTATTTCGGTAACGTTTTGTCTGATCAAAATCAGACTTTCTCAGACAAGCCGGTTACAAAAGAAAAAACGGCATAAGAAGTTGCATTTATTTTATAGAAACTAAGAACTTGCCAACAAGCCCAACATACACAACTGGATGTTGATAAATAAATTATCTCTCAATGCTAAGAAGACTAAATAGCAAGCACGAAAGTGATAGTTATACATAACCATTGCTCAATGGCAATAAAATTGAAAAAGTGAGAGAAATAAAATTCCTAGAAGTTATCTTTGATGAGTCTGTCTTGAAAATCACAAATATTGCAGGTTATTAGTAAAACAAAAATAAACTTGGCAGTTGCTGCGGCAACAACACGGCAATGATAATACGGCCCTCCCTGATTCAGGCCAAAAATTTGGGTCTAGAAAAGCGACTTATTCGCCGGGAAATACGGTACTTATTTTTATGAAAATATTAAACAGCTACAATATTGCTATTGTCTCGGCAGCTGCTGATTGTTTTTGAGCGGGCAGTTAATCTCTCTCCACCTGTTCTACATCTAATGTTGGTGTGTCAGGTTCTGTAGCATGCGTATAGCATAATATTTTCTTCGAACGGCTGATCACATTCTGACATCTGCATGCGCGGGTTCTCTTTTTGTTTAATGTTGGATTTTTGACATTACACATGCATGGTGTTTGTCCCTATTTGGGTGGTGTAATACCTTATGAGCTCCTGTATACCTATTATTGTAATTGGGCGACCAGACGAGATATATTGGATTCTCCCCTTCGTTTTAATTTGCTGTGGTATTCTATGATTTGTCTTGTGTGTATACAAAATTTTATCCTAGGTTAAGGTTCTGCTGTGAAGTTAACGTGGAGGCCAACATACGAATGGTTAGTGTGGTTTGAGAGTTCTTGCATGGTTTGCGAATAATTTACCCCGTGTCCCAGCCAGAATTCAACTCTTTCTACTAGCGTTTTAAAGATAAATAACTAATGATCAATATTTACTCAAAATTAACAATTTATTCCCAACAAAAATGTAGGGTAGTGTTGTTTCCTTATATGTAGCCCTTGGCTAGCTTATTGAATATAATTGGTGTACATCTATAGTGATTGGTTATCACTACACATAGATTGTTTGTAGATTGGTCTGGTTTGTATATTATAACCCCCGCATTGATTGACAATAATTTTGTTTTGCGTTTGCTAACTCGAACTGTCTATCTGTCGATAGCCTTCGGCTGTAGTAAAGAGACGTTTGAAAACACCTTATGAGTTTATTGCAATTCCGACAATATATACAGTGATACAATGCACACACAATTAGATCAAATCTAGTCTGATTAACACAAAACACATTGCTGAATATATAGCTTCCAACCAAGCAATTAAAATATAATAAAGAAACAGATTTTTACATTAACAATTAAAGAATCACGCGTCATTCCGGTTTCTGGTTAGCTTAACAATTAATTTAAGCAGCTGTTCGCGGGCGGATGAATCTCAGATTGTAGCCTTTTCATCATCTTTTTTAGTTTTATCAGTTAAGTTATGCTAAGACATTGTTAAAAAGTATAAGCAACTCATTAAACATTTGTAGATCCTTATTCCTTATATAGGTCGAGAGACGAGGCCTTGAAAACGCCCAGAAAATGAGATCAGCGAACCGGTTAGCAATTCTAGAAAAAAACATGTAACAGAACCGGCCAAAAAATATGACTTTTGTGATGGAACCGGCTGACAAAAAATTTGAATCCCACCACTGCTGGTAACTAAATATTTTTTTTAGTTTTGTATGAAAATGAACATACCAACATACCAAACGCATTACAGCTTGTTCCACAATCCCGATGCGG